GCATCAGCATCAGCATCATCATCATCATCAGCATCATCATCATCAGCATCATCATCAGCATCATCATCATCCGCATCAGCATCATCCGCATCAGCATCATCATCATCAGCATCAGCATCATCAACATCATCATCATCATCATCATCATCATCATCATCATCATTAGCATCAGCATCATCATCATCATCATCATCGACAGCAGCATCATCAGCATCATCATCATCAGCAGCAACTGCATCAGCATCAGCATCAGCATCATCATTGTCACCATCAGCATCATCAGCAGCATCATCATCATCAACATCATCAGCATCATCATCAGCATCATCATCAAAATCAGCATCACCATCATCACCATCATCATCATCATCATCATCATCATCATCATCATCATCATCATCATCATCATCCCTCCTCCTCCTCCTCCTCCTCCTGCTCCTCCTCCTCCTCCTCTGTACCCGAGAGGTCTCTGGACCAGAGAGCAAACGACACCACCCCATCTGCGGCCCCACGGGGCTTAGCGTGTAGCAAGAAAATTGGCGTTTGCGTGGCATGCGCTATACGGCCCACGACGGGCCGTAGCGAAAGATGCAGGGCCGCAGGTGGAGTAGTATCGTTTGTTGTTTGGTCGCTTCCTCCTCGTGTTCCTCCTCATCCTCCCCGTTGCGAAGGGTGCGGCAACTCATGGGCATGAAGTCTCACCCCACCTCCTCCTCCTTCTCCTCTTCCTCCTCCTCCTCCTCCTCATCCTTCGCTTCGCTTCGCTGGAGCGGACCGTGCGTCGATGCCGCACGGGCCTCCCCCTCCTCCATCCTCCATCCTCCATCTCCTCTTCCTCCTCCTCAACCCTCCACCCTCCACCCCCCACCGTCCACTCTCCACCCTCCTAAAACACCCTCCATCCTCCTCCTCCACATGCACGGCGCCAAGTCGGCGGCAGCCTAGAGGGAGGAAAACCCCGAAAGGGTATGGACTGTAAGCTGGGTCGGGATCGGCAGAATAGAACCAATCGGCGGCAAGGCCATGGGGGAAGTGAGAGGGGGCAAGCATTCTCAGAAGGCGGCGGGACTTCTCAGAAACCTCCTGGCCTTGTGAGAAAACATATATATATATATATATATATATATACTGGAACCATCGCGCGCGCTTCGCGCGCGCTCAGGTTCTAGTTGAGGTCACCGCTCAGGTGCGATGCCCGCGACGATTCTTACCACGAAGACGGCGGCGTGCACTGCAAGCCACGTGTTCCGGACGCGCCCTGTTCCAGAGGAGCGTTCCTGGAGCATGGGGCGCCAGAGGCTCCCCCGGTCTTCCCCCCTCCCGGACTATCCTGCCGAGGAACTCTTGGGTTGCGTAGGGCCGGTCTTGCGGGCTCCCTGGGGCTCTCTGGGCCAGCCCAGGGCTGTTGGGGAGCGGACCTGGAGGCGCGCTGGGCCCTATTGGAGCGTCGGAAAGCCGAAAAGACAAGAAGGGGAAGATCCTCCAATTACTACGCAAAATGAACGATTATGGCCTGTTGGGACCCTCTTGGGGGTGCTCCTGGATGCGTCTTGAGCCATGTTTGAAGCCTCTTGGGAGCTACCTGGGGCCTCCTGGGGCTCTCTTGAGGCGGAAGCCCTGGGTTTTCCGGACGCGGTCTGTCTCTTGGACACCTCTCGGGCCTGTTTTGGGGCACTCGTGGGCTGCCCTGGGCGCTTCTTGGGCCAGCCTTGGGCTCTGCGGGACCGCCTCGGGGCGGCGTTGGGCGCTTCTGGAGCTGTTTGGGGGCGGTCTCGGAGGCCTCCTGGGCCGCCTAGGAGCGTCGGACAGCCGCAAAGATCAGAAGGCCAAAACCCTTCCAAAACTATGGTGAAACCATCAATTTTTGGCCTGCTGGGGCCCTCGTGGGAGTGCTCTTGGAAGCGTTTGGAGCCATGTTGGAGGACTCTTGGGGGCTTCCTGGGGCCTCCAGGGTCACTGTTGAGGCGGGAGCCCTGGGTGTTCGGTACGCGGTCCCTCTCTTGGGCCCTTCTTGGGTTTGTTTTGGAGCCTTCTTGGGCTGTCGTGGGCGCTTCTTGGGCAAGCCTCGGGCTCTCCGGGGCCGCCTTGGGCTTGTCTTGGGGGCCTCTGGGGCTGCTTGGGGGCGGACCTGGAGACCTCCTGGGCCGTCTTGGAGCGTCGTGCAACCGAAAAAAACAGAAGGCCAAAATCCTTCCAAAACCATCAGAAAACCATCAATTTTGGCCTGCTGGGGCTCTCTTGGGAATGCTCCTGGAAGCGTCTGGAGCCATGTTGGAGGCCCCCCGAAACCTCTACCACGTGCTTCGGCGACATGGGTCGAAGATGGGAACCATTCCTGGTGCTGAAACAGCACCAGGGTCCGTCCAGAGCCGCTCGGGAGACGCACTGAAGCGGCTCTGGAGAGGCCAGGGGGGGGTCCCCCCATGGCGAGTCGAGGCAGCTGGCCAGAGGCCCCCGGCCTCGTACCCCGACATGTACATACATGTATATATATATATATATATATATATATATGTGTATTTATATACATGCATACATACATACATACATACATACATACATACAGACAGACAGACAGACAGACAGACAGACAGACAGACAGACATGCATATATACATACATACATACATACATACATACATACATACATACATACATACATACATACATACATACATGCATACATGCATGCATGCATACATGCATACATACATACATACATGCATACATACATACATACATACATACATACATACATACATGCATACATGCATGCATGCATGCATGCATGCATGCATGCATACATACATACATACATACATACATTACATTACATACATACATGCGTGCGTGCGTGCATGCATGCATGCATGCATGCATGCATACATACATACATACATATATACATACACGCATCCATACATCTGTACATATCTACATACATACATACATACATACATACATACATGCATGCATGCATCAATCCATACATACATACATACATACATACATGTATACGTACGTACGTACGTACGTACGTACATGCATGCATGCATACATACATACATACATACATATATACATACATACATACATATGCATACATATATATATAGATATTCGGAGAAGTTTCGAAAAACGTGTCAGAAGGCCCGAAGGCTTCCGAGCCTGATGAGAAGGTCCGCTCCCCCTGACTTCTCCCCTGGGCTTGCCGCCAAATCAAGGCTCGTGCCACGCCCAGGGGCCAACATTAATAAAGCGCCTGCAAGGCGCAGTCCTCCTCGAGTTAGCGGTGAGGCCTGGGCATCGCCAACGTCATCCCCTCCTCACAGCTGAGCAGCCTCTGTTTCTGCATCCTCCTTCAGAGAACTGGGACTGGTGCTCCAAGGGAGGGGATGGAGGGCATTGACGTGGAGAGAGCATCCACGAGAAGGTAGCGTGCATTGTAGCTTCGCTACGACGCCAGGCCGTTGAACAACAGAAGCAGCAGTAGATGCAGCAGCAACTCTAATCGAACTTTCGTGCTGTGCCTGGACGGAGCACGATTCGTCTCCTCGCCCCTCTCATCCTCCCTCGCCTCCTTCCCCTCCGCGTGGTCAGACAGCCCAGCTGGCAGCAGGGGTGAGCACGGGCTCGGAGGGAGTTCGCAGTATGTGGAGGTGGATGAAGGCGGGTGAGAGCGACCTAAAGCGCACAAGAGCAACACCGGATACTTGGGTAATAGAATAGTATCCCAAAAACTTTGCGATGGTGTCCCGGTTGATGCTCGATAGATTCCCGATGGCGTCCCGCTAAAGTCATGGTGTTCCGATGAATGCTCTACGGTATCCCGATGGTAGTTGTGTACCATTGGTTTTCGATGGTGCCCCAGTGGTGACCCGATGAATTTCCGACATACAAAACTGATGAACAGCCGATGCCCTCATCCCCGACCTTATCGGCTCCCCGACCTTATCGGCTCTCCTCCTAATTGCTGTCATCGAGGGCTTCATAATCACAAGACAGCTCGCCGCTTGGGCACCACCGCCAGCCCCAACGGCGCGCATAAATCGGGCGTAGCCCCGAACGCATTCGAACGCCCACACTTCGTCCTCGTACTACTCGTATTCCTCCCCATCCTCCTGATCATCCTGATCGTCGTCGTCCTCCTCCTCCTCGTCCTCCTCAACCTCCTCGTCTTCCTCGTCTTCCTCCTGCTCCAGCTCCTCCTCGTCGTCCTCGCCTAGGACATCGTCCTCACTTCTCCTCTTCCTCCTCCTGTTCATCCTTCTTCTCCTGGCACCTCGGTCCTCGACGCCCTCGTTGGCCCGCTTGCACTTTACTCTGGGGCCGGCGGCAGAGGTCATGGGTTGCGTCATAGGTTGCGCCTTCGGGGCTGAAAATAGAACCAATTCCTATCGGTTGCGCCATAGGTTGCGCCCTCGGCGGCCGAGAATAAAGCTGTCTCCTGTCGGTTGCGCAATAGCTTGCGCCTTCGGCAGCCCAGAAAAACAACCGTCTCCTATCGGTTGCGCCACAGGTTGCGCCCTCGGCGGCAGAGAATAAAATCATCTTCGATCGGTTGCGCCATAGGTTGCGCCCTCGGCGGCAGAGAATAAAATCATCTTCGATCGGTTGCGCCATAGGTTGCGCCCTCGGCGACTGAAAATAAAACCACCTCGTGTCGGTTGCGCCATACGTTGCGCCGTCGGCAGCCGAGAATAAAATCGTTTCCGATTGGTTGCACCAGAAGTTGCGCCCTCGGCGGCCGAGAATAAAACTGTTTCCTGTCGGTTGCGCCATGGCTTGCGCCTTCTGCGGCCAAAGATAACAGCGTCTCCGATCGGTTGCGCCGTAGCTTGCGCCCTCGGCGGCCGATAATAAAACCGTCGCCTATCGGTTGCGTCATGGCTTGCGCCTTCTGCGGCCAAGGGTAACACCGGCTCCTATCGGTTGCGCCATTGGTTGCGCCCTCGGCGGCCGAGAAGAACACCATCTCGTATCGGTTGCGCCATTGGTTGCGCCCTCGGCGGTTGAAAATAGAACCGTCGCCTACCAGTTGCCCCATAGGTTGCGCCCTCGACGGCCGAGAAGAAAACAATATTCGATCGGTTGCGCCATAGGTTGCGCCCTCGGCGGCCAAGAATAAAACCGTCTCCGATCGGTTGCGCCATTGGTTGCGCCCTCGGCGGCCGAGAGCAAAACTATCTCCTTTCGGTTGCGCCATAAGTTGCGCCCTCGGCGATTGAGAATAACATCGTCTCCTAACGGTTGTGCCATAAAATGCGCCCCCGGCGGTCGAGAATACATCGGCCCAATGAAAGTTCCTTGAATATTCGTCGCATCGCTCGCTCGCGGAAGCCGGCGGAAGTAAAACGAGGCCGAAGACTGAAGAAGGCCGTCGGAAGGCTTGCGAAAGACAGTGGGAGTGAATGACGCCCCGTCCGAGCCCCCCTACCCCCGTAGAAGCGTAGCAATGTAGTCATCTGCCGTGGGCCAGGTCCTGGGTCGTTCACAGATCCCGCCGTGCTAGGATCGGCTCGAAGTAAGTTTGGGCCGAGAAGTAGTGGCATCCTTGGCGTGCCAGTGTCGTCTTGAGGTCATCTTGAGATCATATTTCGGTCATGCTTGGATCGCGCAGCCGTCGCGTGTCCACTCTGGGGCCGCCCAGGGCGCGCGTGGATACATGTTGTTGCCATCGGGCCGTGTCGGCGTCACGCGTGGCTCCATTGTTTGGTCATCTTCGGGTCGGCCTGAGACGGTCCAGAGTCCATGGCGGGATCGTGTCGTGGTGGCGTCATCCCAGGGTCGGCTGGACGTTGCCGCCTTTGGCCACAGGCCTTCCTGGAACCATTTTGCGGCCATGGAGGCGTCTTAGGATCGCGCGCGCGAGCGCTCAGCACGAGCGCGCGACAACTCATCTATCGCCGATGGGCGTACACACATATATACTCGCTGGTGGAGCCAAGTACGACTGTCTCCTGTCGGTTGCGCCACAGCTCGCACCCTCGGCGGCCGCTGATAAAACCGTAGCCATCAGTTGCGCCATAGGTTGCGCCCTCGGCGGCCGAGAGTAAAACCATCTCCTATCGGTTGCGCCATGGGTTGCGCCCTCGGCGGCCGAGAATAAAACTGTCTCCCATAGGTTACGCCATAGAGGCTGAAAATAAAACCGTCTCCTAACGGTTGCGCCATAGGTTGCGCCCTTGGCGGCTGAGAATAAAACCGTCGCGTAACGGGTGCGACCAGTCAGTTCAGTTCAGCACAATTCAGTTTACCTCGCGAAAAAAAAAACGGGCGACGCCCGAAAAAAAGGACACGGGGAGAATCGGATGTTGAGGAAGCCCTCAGTCATCGCGGGGGGTCTTCCCTCCTTCGCCGTCCGCCCCCTGTGCTGCATCCATCAAGCCCGTTGTCATCACCACCACCATTACCACACCCACCACCATCATCATCTGCACCATCATCATCAACATCAGCATCAGCATCATCATCATTATCATCATCATCATCATCATCATCATCATCATCATCATCATCATCATCAACAACATCACCATCACCATTATCATTATCATCATCATCGTCATCATCATAATCGTCGTCATCATCAGCATCATCATCAGCAGCAGCATCATCAGCATCATCATCAGCATCCGCATCATCGTCATCATCATCATTATCATCATCATTATCAGCATCATGATCAGCAGCACCCACATAATCACCATATCAATCATGATCAGCAGCATCATCATCACCCCCACCTCCATCATCATCGTCACCACCACGAGCACCATTATCATCATTATCATCATCAGCAGCAGCATCAGTATCATCATCACCATCACAACCACCACCATCACCATCGTCGTCATCGTCGTAGACGTCATCATCATCAACAACATCATCATCTTCAGCATCGTCATCATCATCATCATCACCATCGTCACCATCATCATCATGATCAGCATCATCATCGCCATCGTCATTTGAATCGAAAGCATCATCATCAGCACCATCATCATCATCACCATCATCATCATCATCCACCTGCCCCTCCTCCTCCTCCTGCCCCTCCTCCTTATCAATGCGCCCGATGGGGGGGGGCAGGGACCTGCAGCAACGAGCAGTTGTACATCCAGCCAGACAGCTGGCCGGTGATTGGATTGACCTCGGCCGGACGTCTGCTACCTCTGCCAACCCCACCCCCATCATCGACTGCTAGATTCCTCGTGGCTGCTGTCTGACCTCCTCATGATCACGATCCTCCTCATCCCGCTCTTTCCCTTCCTCACCCCCCTCGTCCTCTTCCTCCTCCACCTCCTCCTCACCAGTCCTCCCTCTCTATCCTCTGGGTCCTCCTCAAACTCAGACTCATCCTGCTCATATTCATTCGCATCCTCATCCTCCTCATCATCAGCAGCACCATCACCATCGTCGTTAACATCACCATCACCATTATCATCGCCGTCATTCTCACCATCATCGTCGTCATCATCGTCGAAACCATTATCTATCATCAGCAGCATCAGCATCAGCATCATCAGCAGCAGCATCATCATCAAAAACACAATCATCATCATCATCATCATCATCATCATCATCATCATCACCATCATCATCATCGACGTTGTCGTCGTCGCCGCCGTCGTCGTCGTCGTCATCGTCATCGTCATCGTCATCAGCAGCGGCATCGACAGCCGCATCATCATCATCATCATCATCATCATCATCATCATCATCATCATCATCATCAGCGTCATCATCGTGCTCGTCGACGTCATCGTCGTCATGGTAATCATCGTTATCATCGTCGCCGTAATCAGCATCATCATCTTCATCATCACCATGATCAACATCATGTTCATCATCATCATCATCATCATCGTCATCATCATAGTCGTCGCCATCGTCATTGTCGTCGGCATCATCATCAGCATGAGCATCACAAACCGACCAACTAGATAGATCATACTGGTACGAATACTAAGCATCTTATGAATCAAATTCACACAAAAGTCAGTGATAATAGTTACAAGAGTAATATAAATACAAATGGTAATCATACAAATGATGAAACAGAATTTGAAAAAAAAATACTAACACCTATACGTATCATCAGCATCATCATCAGCAGCATCATTATCATCGTCAGCATCAACATCAGCATCATAATCAGCAGCATCATCACTATCATCAGCATCATCATTTGCAGCAGCAGCATCATCAGTCTCATCATCATAGTCATCATTGGCATCGTCATCGTCGTCATCAGCATCATAATCTTCATCATAATCATCATCATCATCATACTCACCAACAACAACGTCATGATCGACAGCATCATCATCAGTAGCAGTATCATCACCACCACCACCATCATCATCATCATCATCATCATCATCATCATCATCATCATCACAATCGTCAGCATCGTCATGATGGTCATCATCATCACCATCATCAGAATCACCAACATCACCATCATCATCATCATCGTCACCGTCATCATCATTAGGATCGTCACCATCATCATAAATAATCGTGATCCAAATCACCATCATCACAATGATCGCCATCATCGTCATAGTCGTCGTCGTCATCATCAGCGTCATCGCTATGATCATCGCCTTCATCATCGTCATCCGTCATTATCACCAGCATCAGCATCAGCAGCATCATAATCATCATCACCAACAGCTAAAGCAACATCGCCATCGTCAGCAGCAGCGTCACCCGCATCGTCATCTTTAGCAACATCATAAGCATCATCAGCATCATTATCATCGTCACCATCATCATCAGCATCATCATCAGGATCAGTATCATCAACAGCGTGCCAGAATCACCATTGTCAAGTTCATCCTCCTCATCATCAGCAGCACCATCACCAACACCATCATCATCATCATCATCACCAGCAGCGTCATCATCATCATCAGCATCATCGTCGTCATCATCAGCAGCAGCTTCATCATCGTCACCATCATCACCATCACCATTACCATTACCATTATCATTGTCATCATCATCGTCATCATCATCGTCGTCGTTGTCGGCTTCGGCATCATCATCATCATCACCATCATCAGCATCAGCATCAACATCAGCATCATCAGAATCATTACCATCATCAGCATCATCATCATCACCATCATCGGCATCATAATCCGCCGACCCCTTTGGGATCATCGGCGTGTGATATGCTTCCCCCTCCCCAAACCCCTCCCCCTGGAGCCCGGTCCGGTCGATTTGGAGAGGGGGGGTGGCCGTCCGGCCAAAGCTCACCAGGGGCGTCTGGCCCTTCCCTGGCTCCTTTTGGAGGTCCACGACAGCTTCTAGGGCCGCCCAAGAGGCCCCCAAGATGGTCCCAGAGGGCCCCGAGACGCCGAAAGATCGTTCCAAAATGCCTAACTTGGGCCGAAAAATCGTTCCAAGACGCCTCACATGGGCCGAAGACGGCCCAAGAGGCCACCAAGTCGTTACAAGAGGCCTCCCAGGAGGCCTCCAAGAGGCCAAAATTGTCAAATTCCCAAGGGAAACGTACATTTCTAGCAAATACGATTTTTCGGCCTTCACAGCGCGGAAGCCCTTCCAAGATGCCTCCAAGACCGCCCAAAGACGGCCCCATAAGCTCCCAAGAAGCCCCCAACACGGCACAAGAAGCGCCCAAAACGACCCAAAAGGGCTCCAAGACGGCCCCAAGAGGGGCCCGAAAGGGGGACCACCAAACGAACATTCCAACCGTCCGCCCCGAGAGGCCTCCAGGCGGCAACAGGAGTCTCCAAAAAGGCGTCCAGACGCCCCCAAAAGGCCCCCAAGAGGCCCCAAGAGGATCCCCAGAGGCCTCCAAGAGGCCCCAAGGGGCCCCAAGAGGTCCCCCAATCGGCTTCGATATACGATGGTTCGGCCTTCACAGTGCGGAAGACCCTCCAAGATGCCTCCAAGACCGCCCTAAGACGGCCCCATAGGCTCCCAAACCAGAACGGACAGTTCGAACCTTCGGCTCCAAGACGCCCCCAAAGTGCACCAGGGACCCCCAGAAAGTCCCCAAGAAAAACAAAGGGGGGCGGTGTGGCGTAAGCCGAAGATCATCAGCATCGTCGGCATCACCATCACCATTACCATCACCATCATCAGTATCATCAGCATCATCGTCCTCATCATCAGCATCATCTCAGCAGCATCATCATGATCATCATCACCAGCAGCAGCATCGTCATCGTCAGCGTCTTCATCATCCGTATCGTCGTCATCATCATCAGCACCAGCACCAGCATCATCATCGTAATCATCATCATCATCATCGCCATTATCAGCATCAGCATCATATTCATCATCATCATCAGGGTCATCATCATCATCAGTAACATCATCATCCACCTCCCACCCCCACCCCCACCCCCCCACCCCCAACCCCCCTTCATCGTACCCTTTACCAAGGCCGGGCTTAGTGAGAGACAAATCCTTTAGCTGACTGCCTGCGGGATTGGAACACCGGACGGCATCGGGCTCAAGGAGGAGGAGAAGGACTCATTGACTCGATGTCTCCGTCAGAATCAGAAAAAGGATTACCAGAATGTGTTTCTCAAGGGAATTGATGTCGCGCCAGATGTTGTCGAAGCATGTGCTTGCCCACGATCGTTCAGCCAGCTGCTTCTGTGAAACCGATATCCTGCAGTATGAAGAGCGCGTTCTGTGGTCGCTTGGATGGGGGGGGGGAACAGGCCCCCCCTTCCTTATTGTCCTCTCTCTCTCTCTCTCCTCGGGCTGGCGCCAGCGTCGGCGGCGGCTGGCGGCGGCGGGGGTGCTGGCGGTGGCGGTAGTGGCGGTGGTGGTGGTGGTGTTGAGGTGATGTGTGGTGGTTGTGGTGGCTGTGGTGGTGGTGGTGGGTTGTGCTGATGGTAGTCATGGTGGTGGTTGTGGCGGTGGTGGTGGTGGTGTGGTATATTGTGGTGATGGTGGTGTCAGTGGTGAGTTGTTGTATTGGTGGTAGTGGTGAGTTGTTGTGGTGGTGGTTGTGTTGTGGTTTGGTGGTGGTGGTGGTGGGTTGAGGTGGTGATGGTGGTGGTTGTGGTGGTGGCGGTGATGGTGGTGGTCGTGGTGGTGGCGGTGGTGGTGGCGTGGTGGTTGTGGGCTGTGGTGTTGGAGGTGGTGGTGGTGCTGCTGGTAGTGGTGCTGCTGGTGGTGGGTGGTGGGTGGTGGGTGGTGGGTGGTGGTAGTGGTGGTTGTGGTGGTGGTGTCGCGGTTTGTGGTGGTGGTGTTGGTGGTGGGTTGTGCTGATGGTGGTAGTGATGGCGGTGATGGTGATGGTGGTGGTGGTGGTGTGGTGGTTTGTAGTGGTGGTTGTTGTGGGTTGTGGTGGGTTGTGGTGGTGCTGGTGGTGGCGTTTTTGGTGGTGGTGAGGTGGTTTGTGGTGATGGTGGTGGTTGTGGTGATGGTGGGTTGTGGTGGTTGTGGTGGTTGTGGTGGCGGTGCTGGCGGTGGTGATATGGTGGTCTGTGGTGGCGGTGGTGGTGGTGGTGTGGCCTTCGGCTCTTCCCGCCACTGTGTTTTGGCAAAGGGTCAGAGTTCTAATGGATGCCTCTTGAGGTCTCGTCAGAAGGGTCTCGGGGGCGTCTGAGGAGCATGCGAGGGCTCGATATGGCGATTTGCGTGTTCCCTCTGCGGCCTTTGGGTCCTCTCTGGTCATGATCGGTAACTACGTCCCCGCCGTCGGCGTTGCTGGCCGCCGCCAGCGCCGGCGCCGGCGCGGGGGGGGGTGTTGAACCCCCCCCTGTCCTGGGCTCTCTCTGGTCATCGTCGCTGCGTTGGCGCTACTGCGGCCGCCAGCGCCGGCGCCGGCCCCCCCCCCCTTGTGAAGGGGGGGGGCGGAGAGGGGGGCGGGGTTAGTGGGGAAGGGAGTCCCCCTGGTTCTGATCGACGGCGCCGAGTGTTGGGGTGGGGGGCCCGCCCCCAGGTTCGAAACGCGCGGCCGAATGTTCCCAAGGCAAGCGCCCGTGAAACGCGCTCTCTCTTTCTCTCTCTCTCTCTCTCTCTCTCTCTCTCTCTCTCTCTGCAGTATCCATCACTTGGAAATGCTGACGCATGGACATTAGCTTGGCGGAGCTGGCTCTAAAACTTCATTGAAATGACTGCTTGCAATATGAGTTCCCCGGTGTCTGCATGACTGAGTGCCTGCTCCGCCATTCGCCACGTGAACACGTCGCTTTCGGCCTGGCCCCAATAAGCTCCTCCCCTGCTGAAAGCCCGATCAGCCGCACAGTCCGACCGCAGGAAGAAAGACGGCAGAGGTGGACGAAACGGGAAAAAGTTGAATATGGGACATAGGGAAGGAAGACGTAAGAAAGAGGAAGACAAGGATGACGAGGACACCTAATAATGAGAAAAATCATCGTGGCCATGGACAACGTCCACCTTGAAAAGGGTGGTGGGAATGAGATCGATACTGACGAGGAAAAACGAGGAGACGACAGTAGGATGAAGTTTAGGAAGACGGGGGGGTGGCGAGGACAACAAAGAGGGGCATGAGGAGGACAGTGGGCGGAAATCATGGGAAGGGGAGACAGTGCAGAGGGCGAAGGAGAAGAGGAAGGACGAAGCGGAGATCCAGCAGAAGCAGCAAGCGGGAGCATGGGGGGTGGCAGAAAGCGACCACGTTCGTCATGTCCACCATGTTAAAATCCGCTGACCCTCGAATCGTGGCCCCTGGGGCGACTATGCCAGAAGGGAGGGAGCGGGAAGGGGTAGAGAGGGCGGGAAGAGAAGGGGACCGAGAAAGAGGGGTGGACAAAGAGCCCATTCGCTCGAGGGAGTCTTCGGGCACAGGCGAGAACCCTTTCGGCCGTGTTCCTCCTCCTCCTCCTCCTCCTCCTCCTCCTCCTCCTCCTCCTCTTCCTCCTCCACCTCCGCCTGCTCCTCCTCTTCGTCCTCCTCCTCGTCCATTTCCTCCTCCAACTCCTCCTCCTCCTCCTCCTCCTCCTCCTCCTCCTCCTCCTCCTCCTCATCCAGCGTCAAAAGTGAGGGTCAGGTCGTTTTCCAAAGATGGGTACTCGCGTCAGCACCTTGCGCAGGGCTACCCTGATTGAGAAGGGGTGGTTTTCAGAACGTGCGCCTTTGCGCCGCGAACATTCGTCTTCACAATTTGCAGCAGCTACACAAAGAGAGGGCCCGAGGGCATGTCCTTCTTCATCATGGGCTAGAGTGCGGGGCCAGCATTGGAGCATCGTTCCCAAGATGGGGCTCCTGCCGGACGTGTTCTTGCAGGCAGCGGCGATACCTCGTCGTACACGTGATCGGCAGTCGTTGCCAAGGTGGGGCCCTCGCTGGACAGGTGCCTGCAGGCTGCGGCAGTACCTCGTCGCACACGCGAGTGGCTGTCGGACGGAAGGCGGCGCTGCTCACGACGGGACCCTCGCAGGAGAGGCAGGCCCACGGGGCGCTCGCTGTTCCAAGAGGCCCCTCGCGCCTGCGACGAGGCCCTGACTGCAAGGACCTGCGAGACGGAGGCGTGGGACGGCAGGGTATGACAGAGCACTGCTGATGGAAACAGGATCGTGTTGTGGCCCCCTCTGTTGCCTCATCCTCCTCCGCCTCCTGGATCCTTCCCCCCTCCTTCCCCTCCTCCTCCTCCGTGTCCTCCTTGTCGTCGTCGTCCTCCTCCTCATAAACCTCCTCCCCTTGTGAATAACTCCTCCCTGTCGCACCCCAGGACGTGTCTGCAGGGCGGGGCGGGCGGGGCGCCTGAGACTTCCCGACCATGTATGGCCGTTAGGCTGAAACTTCGCAACATCTTCACGGATGGAGGGCATGTAATGTTCAAAATGTGGCGTTCGCCTCAGCGCCGCCCGCATTCGTCGTAAAAGGTTGCAAGCGTGTCATTGATAGAGGGCGCACCTTTTCAAAATGTGGTTCTCGCATTAGCGCCGCGCACACTCGTCTTAAGAGTTGGCAACATATTCAAACATTAGTATGGATGACGCTCGCGAAATCGTGTTCTGGGCACGATGTAGGACTGTCAGGGCGCAGCAGTTACATTGATTCGCGATGTTGAAGTCCCAGGAATGGTTTCTGGCACGACTCAGGATCGCCAGGACGCAACAACATGTTGATTCGAGGCGTTGAAGTCCCAGGAATGGTATTCGGACACGGTTCTGAATTTTCACAGTGTTGTCTTCCAACGGCGCACTTCCTCAGTGAAACCCAGCAGGAGCTGGAGTGGAAGGAGCGGGAGGAGCAGGAGGGCCAGCGGAAGGCGGAGGAGGGGAAATGAGGGAGCTGACCTCAACGAAGCAAAACTCTGAACCAGAAAAGTGGCTCGCGCTGTGGCGAGAGCGCCATTCTGAACGACAGGAGCAAAGCGCCAAGCCGAAAATGAGGACCACGCGGCAGCGGCAGCACATTTCTGAAACACCGAAAACGACGGGATTGTAAACCCACGTTTAAACAGAAAACAAACAAAAATTGAAATCCAGTGTTTTAACAAAAACGCGAAGGGGGCGGGCCACTTGATGTATTATCTTCAAGGGGGATCGGAGAGGAGTACTCAGATTGTGTAATCGTGGAGGAGAAATGAAAGAGTGACAGGGAACGGTGGAGACTGAAGGGAAGGGGAGGAGGGGGGAGAGGAGGGGGAGGGGGGGAGTAGAGGAGAGAAAGGTAGGGGGAGGGGGAGAGGAAGGAAGGTGAGGGGGACAGGACAAGCAGAAAAGGTGAGAAGTGTCATGGTCCAAAGGTGGTTCAAATTCTTGAAGCACTGCGGCTCGCGGGCAAATGCGAGGAAGACTCCCGAAGAGAGACAAACGACGAGTGGCGACAGCCTCAAGAATACATGATACTGCCCCTCGTGGCAACCGGGCGGAACTGCTCGCGCTTCTCGTTGATCTCGATCTTGCGCTCATCGGCCTGGCCATGGGCAAGCCCTCTCTCCGGCGTGGAAAGAAGAGACTCGATAGAATTTATATAATGTACCCCTTTCCCTGGTGCATGCTTCGTTCGGCAAACGCGCGCCACTCCTCTGTTTCTTACGCTCACCGCCCGATTCAGCGTGGCTACTGTAGGTACCCGCGATCGCCCGATGACGTGACGACGTGAAGACTTGCTTTTCTGAGAAGTGCCCGGAAGACCTGGAAGACAAAAGACCTTAAGAGCTGAAGACCCAGGGATCCGAATACTCGCCAAAGAGCACGACGATCTGAAGGCGTGAAGGCGCGGCGATCCGATCCTAGGCAAGATGACCTAACGACTTGAGGACGCGAAGACCACGTGGTCGACCCGACGACGTTAAGACCAGACGACCACGTCTTCAGGGCTTGACACTTCGGTTCTTGCAATTATCATGCTCTTCCCCCGCCTCCTCAGCTTCCTCCTCCTGCTCTTCCTCCAACACTGTACCAGATGTCTCCTCCTCCTCCTCCTCCTCCTCCACCTCCTCCTCATCCGACACTTCCTCCCCCTCCTCCTTCTCCTCCTCCTCCTGCACTTGCTCCTCCCCATCCTCCTCCTCCGAAGACCTGGAGACATCTAGACGATCAGAATTTCACGCATTCACGTCTTCACGTCGACGGGCCCCCTTTTACATCTTCAAGTCTTCACGGCTTCAAGGATTCACCCCATCCATCCGACCCGGGTCATCAAAGGTGACGCCTCCACATCGTCACATCATCAAGTCTTCGGCAAAACAGCGAGGGAACCAGCAATACTCGCAATAAAAAAGATAGTGGTGAAATGAGTCCACTCGTGATTCTCCATCGTATGGATGTCCAATGTTGTTCCACCAGACTCGTCATGTACCCTCCGTCTCCTCCTCAGTGTGTGATCTGTTTTTTCCCAAACCATCCTCTGGTGTTGGGTCTTCGTTCTGAAGAAGCGGTCCCCGCGTTCACTCTTCCACCTCCTCCTACTGCCACCTCCCTCCCTCCTTCTCCCTTCCTCCTCCCCCTCCTCCCTCCTCCCTCCTCCCATCGTCATCACCCATGTCGGCACACCCCTCACACGTTTGGCGGTGTTCGCATGCGTCCCCGCTACCCATTTCGGCACACCCCTCACACGTTTCGTGGCCCCATAGGGAGCTCCACCGAAGAGACCAGTGGCGGTGTTCGCATGCGTCCCCGCCACCCATTTCGGCACACCCCTCACAAGCTTCGTGGCGCCATAGGGAGCTCCACCGAAGACCCCAGTGGCGGTGTTCGCACGCGTCCCCGCCACCCATGTCGGCCCACCCCTCACACGTTTACTGGCCTCACCGGGAACTCCACCGAAGGCCCCAGTGGCGGTGCTCGCATGCGCCCCCGCCAGCAATTTCGGCACACCCCGCACACGCTTCGTGACCGCAGGGAGCTCCACCGAAGGCCCCTGTGGCGGTGTTCACATGCGTCCCCGCCACCCGTTTCGGAACACCCCTCACACGTCTCGTTGCCCCATAGGGAGCTCCACCGAAGGCCCCAGTGGCGGTGTCCGCATGCGTCCACGCCACCCCTTTTCGGCATACCCTCTGACAGGCTTCGTGGACCCATAGGGAGCTCCACCTAAGGCCTCAGTGGCGGCGCTCGTATGCGCCCCCGCCACCCATTCCGGCACACCCCTCACACATTTCGTGGCCCATTTACGAACTCCACCGAAGACCCCAGTGGCGGTGTTCGCATGCGTCCCCGCCACCCATTCTGGCACACCCCTCGCACGTGGATGGCGCACAATTCCGGGCAGATGCACAGAACCATGCTTCCACGAGAAAGGGCATCCGCCTGAAAGACGCCACAAGATGATGCGAATACGTATGCCTTTTTGGCTGGCCTTTTGATGCCGAGACGGTTCGCCCTCGGCGGCTCGCCGTGCCCACCCACCCTTGCCTCGCGCCCCGACCCGGGGGGAGCCCGAGGCGAGGCGCCCAGGGTGGAGACACACGAGCGAAGCGTGCGCAGTGCCGTCCTTGAGTTCAAAAAGAGGGTGGGCTGGAGGAGGAGGGGAGAAGAGAACGAGAGGGAAGGGAGCGAGCGAGTGGCGCAGCAGCAGTCGGATCGATAGCTGCGGCCGTGGATGGAGATCGCGGGAGGGTGGGCAGAGATGCCAACCCTCCTGCTAGTATAGGGCGCCCGAGTGGGCGCCACGCCGCGCCCGTGGCGAGCACCTCCCGTGGGTACAGTGCTGGTCATGCTGAGCAGCCAGCGCCTGCAAACCAGGCACCAAGTGAACACGGCAGCTACATTTCGGCACAGGCCAACGGAAAGCAAAGATGCCTGGGGTGGTGAAAGAAAAAGAAGGGGCCACAAAAAGGATTCGCGGCCCCAAGATATTAGTCAGTCGAGCCCGAGTCTCCCTCCCCAGTGCCACAGCCCACAACGAGGCTCGAGGCTGCCGCTGCAACAGACACGGAAGAGCACTGGGCGGTGGCACTAGCGCGGTCAGGAGACTCTGGCAGGAGCTCTAGCTGGACACCCGTGCCAGGGTGTCGGCCACTCTCCGCACGAGCAAGCTTCCTGAGGTGACCATTGCGCGTCGCCTGCACTTGCGATACACCACGGCACATCAGACGAAGTCCCCGACAACAGCCATCAGGGAGCACCAAAAAACAACAAAATTCTGGCAAATTATAACCCGCCCATATCTGACTGGGCGGTGGTCCAACTCTCGGAAAACATCAAGGTCCTCATTCCAGGCGGCCGACCCTGCAGCCTCAGCACGTGAGAGAGTGGGGGTGGTCCTCAGCGGGCCCGAGGCGGAGGGAGGAGGCTCAGGGTCGGCCGACTCTGGCGAGAATAGGGAGACAGAGAGAAGGGGGGGGGGGGAAACTGGCGAGGGACCCAACCATATGCAGTTGTGAGTACCGTCGTTGTACGCACCGCATTTGGACGGGCGCGTTCCACTACTCGCAAATGAGCTACTCGCAAATTGCCTGGATCCGCCACTGGGCATTTACGATCTATTACATAGCGGAAGACCTGTATACTTCGGACGTCTGCGAGAAGTGGAACGCGCTCGGCGAGCATTCGGAGGAGCTCCCTATGCGGCCACGAAACCTGTGAGGGGTGTGCCAAAATGTGTCCAGTGGGCGCATGCGTAAGCAGCCACTGGGGCCGTCGGTGGAACTCCCTAGTCACGGAACGCGTGCGGGGTGTGCCGAAATAGGTGCGATGGGCGCATGCGAACGCAGCCACTGGCGCCTTCGTTTAAGCTCCCCATGGGGCCACGAAACGCGTGAGGGGTGTGCCAGAATGGGCGTGGGTGACGCATGCGGGCGGTGGCACCGGGGCCTTCGTCGGAGCTCCCTATGGGGCCACAAAACGTGTGAGGGGTGTGCCGAAACGTGCGTGGGTGACGCATGCGGGCAGTGGCACTGGGGCCTTCGGTGGAGCTCCCTATGGGGCCACGAAACGTGCGAGAGGTGTGCCGAAATGGGTGTGGGTTACGAATGCGGGCGGCTGCACTGGCGCCTTCGGTGGAGCTCCCTATGGGGCCACGAAACGCGTGAGGGGTGTGCCGAAATGGGTGTGGGTAACCCATGCGGGCGGTGGCACTGGGGCCTTCGGTGGAGCTCCCTATGGGGCCACGAAACGTGTGAGGGGTGTGACGAAATGGGTGTGGGTGACGCATGCGGGCGGTGGCACTGTGGCCTTCGTTGGAGCTTCCTATGAGGCCACGAAGCGTGTGAGGGGTGTGCCGAAATGGATGTGGGTGACGCATGCGGGCGGTGGCACTGGCTTTCGGTGGAGCTCCGTATGGAGCCACGAAACGCGTGAGGGGTGTGCCGACATGGGTGTGGGTGACGCATGCGGGCGGTGGTACTGGGGCCTCCGTTGGAGCTCCCCACTGGGCCACGAAACGCGTGAGGGGTGCGCCGAAATGGGTGTGGGTGACGCATGCGGGCGGTGGCACGGTGGACTTCGGAGGAGCTCCCTATGGGGCCACGAAACGTGTGAGGGGTGTGCCAAAACTGGTGTGCGTGACGCATGCGGGCAGTGGCAATGGGGCCTTCGGTGGAGCTCCCTATGGGGCCACGAAACGTGCGAGAGGTGTGCCGAAATGGGTGTGGGTGACGCATGCGGGCGGCTGCACTAGCGCCTTCGGTGGAGCTCCCTATGGGGCCGCGAAACGTGTGAGGGGTGTGCCGGAATGGGTGTGGGTAGTAACCCATGCGGGCGGTGGCACTGGGGCCTTTGTTGGAGCTCCCTATGGGGCCACGAAACGTGTGAAGGGTGTACCGAAATGGGTGTGGGTGACGCATGCGGGCGGTGGAACCGTGGCCGTCGGTGGAGGCCCACACTGGGGCCACGAAACGTTTTACTGGGTGGGTGGAACGCAGGGAGGGGGGAGGAGGGGAAGGAGGGAGGAGGAAAGAAGGAAAGAGGAGGAGATGCGGGGCGCTGTCTCTTCAAAACGAGGACCCAACACCACAAGATGGTTGGGAAAAATTAGCCTTGCGAAGGACCCAGCCATATGCAGTTGTGGGCACCCTGGTTGTGTGCACCGCATTCGGAGGAGCTTCATGTAGGGCCACGAAACCTGTGAGGGGTGCGCCAAAAAATTGTCCGGTTGGCGCATGAGGCAGCAGCCATTTGGGCCGTCGGCGGAATTGCCTAGTGGGCCACAAAACGCGTGAGGGGTGTGCCGAAATAGGTGCGGTGGGCGCATGCGAACACAGCCACTGGGGCCGTGCCGAAATGGGCGCGGTGGGCGCATGCGAACGCAGCCACTGACGCCTTCGGTGGAGCTCCCTATGGGGCCACGAAACGCGTGAGGGGTGTGCCGAAACGTGCGCGGGTGACGCGTGCGGGCGGTGACACTGGGGCCTTCGGTGGAGCTCCCTATGGGGCCACGAAACGTGTGAGGGGTGTGCCGAAATGGGTGTGGGTGACGGCGGGCGGTGGCACCGTGGTCTTCGGTGGAGCTCCCTATGGGGCCACGAAACGTGTGAGGGGTGTGCCGCACGGGGCGTGCGGGCGGCGGCACTGGGGCCTTCGGTGGAGCTCCCTATGGGGCCACGAAACGTGTGAGGGGTATGCCGAAATGGGTGTGGGTGACGTTTGCGGGCGGTGGCACTGGGGCCTTCGGTGGAGTTCCCTATGGGGCCACGAAGTGTGTGAGGGGTGTGCCGGAATGGGTGTGGGTGACGCATTCGGGCGGTGGTACCGGGGCCTTCGGTGGAGCTCCCTATGGGGCCACGAAACGTGTGACGGGTGTGCCGAAACGTGCGTGGGTGACGCATGCGGGCGGTGGCACTGGGGCCTTCGGTGGAGTTCCCTGTGGGGCCACGAAACGTGTGACGGGTGTACCGGAATGGGTGTGGATGACCCATGCGGGCGGTGGCATTGGGGCCTTCGGTGGAGCCCTATGGAGCCGCGAAACGCGTGAGGGGTGTGCCAGAACTGGTGTGGGTAACCCATGCGGGCGGTGGCACTGGAGCCTTCGGTGGAGCTCCCTATGGGGCCACGAAACGTGTGAAAGGTGTGCGGAAAAGTGCGTGGGTGACGCATGCGGGCGGTGGCACTGGGGCCTTCGGTGGAGCTCCTTGTGGGGCCGCGAAACGTGTGAGGGGTGTACCGGAATGGGTGTGGGTAGCGCGTGCGGGCGGTTGAACTGGTTTTCGGTGGAGCTCCGTACGAGGCCACGAAGTGCTGTACTGGGTGGGTGAAACGCAAGGAAGAAGGAGGAGGGGGAGGAGGGGGAGGAGGAAAAAGGGAAATTAAGACGAGGAAAAAAAACTAGGAAGAACGCGCGGCCTCAAAACGAGGACCCAACACCACAAGATGGTGGGGAAAAAGAAGTGGAAAGGGAGAGGGAGATTCCAACGGGACCCCGAGATGAGCCCATTGATGGGCCAAACGAAAAAGCACTTGGTGTGGACCGATGCACTTCTGTGCGAGAGCAGGCGCCGTGGCAGCGCAGGCGGGCCCGCACCAAGCCTCAGAGGAGAGGCGGCGGGTCCGAGCAAAACACGGCTGAGCTGACAAAACCACCTGCGCCGAGCGATGCCGAACGGAGGCCCTTGAGCATGGTAAGGACGATCCAGGACGGCGCAGAGCGCCCCACACTGCCGCACTACCTCACTGATGCAGGCAAGGAAGAGAGGCGCGGCAACACGCACCTAACATTCGGTCGGGCATGTCCCTCTAGAGGGGGATTTTGGACGACAAATGAAAATTATCCAGGCGAAGGACCCAACCATATGCAGTTGTGGGTACTGCAGTTGTGAGTAGATTTTTCGGCGGTGCCCACGAACCGCATGAGGGGCGTGCCGACATGTGGCGGGGCACACAACACGAAGGAAAACGATTGGCCAAATTACGACAGACTGAGCGCGGGTGAATCTGTGCGCGAGTGAATCTAAATGTGAATGAGTACGCGCGCGAGCGAATATTTTTGCACGAATGCGATCATGGTTACGCCTCGTGTAAATGTATATGAACGTGAATGGTTCGGGTACGCCTGTCTGCGCACTCGCGACACTGAGCGCGGCCGCCGCAGAAGGCCTCCGCGGGAACCCCGGCGACAGCGCCCGCGCGCCGCAACGCCCATGTCGGCACGCCCCTCACGAGGATCGCGCCAGCTTCCTCCCCTTCTGTTCCCCCCTCTTTGCCCGCGCACTCCAAAGCCTAAAATTGCGGGCGCAGCGCGGCGCGGAGTCCCCGCGACGCGCGCCGGTCGCCCCGGAAGGGCGCCGGCGACGCGCGCGGGTCGTCCGCTGCGCGGAGCAAAGAGAGCTAGCTAGCTAACTGGCTGGCCGATAGCGGGCAAGGCTCTGACCGCCGGGCAGAGCGACGACGGGCGGGCGAGGCGCAGGGAAGAACGCAGCACGGAGTTCCCGCGACGCGCGCTGGTCGCCCCGGGAAGGTCCCAGCGAAGCGCGCGGGTCGTCCGCGGCGCGAGGCCAAACAATTAGTTGGGCAGTCGAGAGAAGGCGCGGCTCGGGAGGGGGGCGTTCCTCAGTTCAGGCCTCGCGGATAAACTCGGCGAAGCCGAGCCCCCTAGCGAGGGCCGTCGCCTCCCTCCTGCACCGCCTCGTGCGCGCCGCAAACTGCTCCAGCTGCTTCCGCAAGCCCTCTGGCGGCCCTGCCAGGAAGAACTCGGCGCCCGCATGAGCAGGAGGTCCTCGTGGCGCGTGGCGCGCGGGAGCAGCACAAAGAGCTCCAGCCACCAGTCGTCGTCCTCCTTCTTGCCGGTGGCGGCCGCAGTCCAGGATCACGCCCTGGCGCGCGCCGGACAGCCGACGGCCCAGGGCGAGAGTCCACAGGACCGAGAGATGGTCCGGCTGCAGACCGCTCGCGCCCAGTAGGTTCGGCTGTAGATTGCTGGACGAGCAGTTCGCAAGCCCGTGGTCGGCCACGTTCCCGCGGATGCGGAGGATCCCCGGCGCGTCCACGGCCGCCAGCCCGCATGCCGCAGGGCGATCCGGAGCCGCGCGCCGGACGAAGACGACGACGGCAACGACGACATCCAACAGGCCAATCCTCCACCGCTCGTTTACGACGACCACAGCGAGAACACCTGAAAGACCCTCGCTGGTGGAATGGAATCTCACGCGAATGCAAAGCAACATACATACGGGGGGGGGCGGGCCTCCTCCTCCTCCTCCGCCTCCTCCTTCTCCCCAAAGTCTGGGGCTGTTCCCTGGAACCTTGAGTGTGGCGGACGCATGGTGGCGGTGGCATTGGCAACTTCGGTGGAACCCCCTATGGGCCAGGAAACGTGTGAATGGTGCGCCGAAATTCGTGTGGGGGACGCATGCGGGCGGTGGCACTGGGGCCTTCGGTGGAGCTCCCGATGGGGCCACGAAGCGTGAGGGGTGTGCCGACATGTGCGTGGGGGACGCATGCGGGCGGTGGCACTGGGGTTTTCGGTGGAGCTCCGCATGGAGCCGCGAAACGTGTGAGGGGTGTGCGAATTGTGTGCGGGGGACGCATGCGGGCGGTGGCACTGGGGCCTTCGGTGGAGTTCCCTGTGAGGCCACGAAACGTGTGACGGGTGTGTCGACATGGGCGTGGTGGACGCATGCGGGCGGTGGCATGGGGGGCTTCGGTGGAACTCCATATGGGGCCTGGGGCCGCGAAACGTGTGAGGGGTGTGCCGACTTGTGCGGGGGGCGCATGCGGTGGCCATGGGGCCTTCGGTGGAGCTCCATATGGGGCCACGAAACGTGTGAGGGGTGTGCCGAAACGTGCGTGGGGACGCACGCGGGCGGTGGCACTGGGGCCTTCGGTGGGACTCCCTATGAGGCCACGAAACGTGTGAGGGGTGTGCCGAACTGGGTGCGGGGGACGCATGCGGGCGGTGGCACTGGGGCCTTCGGTGGGGTTCCCGATGGGGCCACGAAGCGTGTGAGGGGTGTGCCGAAATTCGTGTGGGGGATGCATGCGGGCGGTGGCACTGGGGCCCTCCATATGGGGCCACGAAACGTGTGAGGGGTGTGCCCACATGGGTGATGATGCTGGCGATGATGACGGTCGTGATGATGATGACGATGATGATGATGATGACGACGATGATAACGATGATGACGCTGACAGTGATGATGAAGGTGATGACGATGATGATGATGGTGATCATTTGTTTTACTCCCAGCGCGCATAGCACATCCATTGCTGTCAGTTTCTGATCGGGATTGTCTTCGAGGCTCCCCACGTACGTTCGGGCTCTATGGTACAGCAGCGGCCAGGCAAGCGGCGGGGGGCCAGCAGCTTGGCATAGGCGCTGGCTCAGAATATCCAGCTGGCCCGTAAAATACTGCTCCTGCGAATCAAACGATGCCATAGTAGTACTTTTCGTGCAAGGCTTGTGTAAGAGCAGGTTGATGACTTTGTCCGACGTCTGAAGCCCAGGCGGAAGCAGGCCATGCAAATACTGAAACTGACCGCCCTCCGATGAAGCCGAAGCTCGGCCAAGAGCAGGAAAAGCGGGCGCAGGCTGGAGCTCCTCAGGCACCTCACCCACGTCCTCCAAACGAGCCATCTTGCGGGGCGGCGACCCCGAAGGAGGAGAAACATCAGCGGCACCCCGAACGCCCTCACCACGAGCGCGAACTTCAGCGCCTCCCCGAGCGTCGGCAACTCCACGAACCTCCACGGCATCACAAAGATCAGAGGCGCCACCCAGAAGATCGTCGCGGACGTGTGAACCAAGTAGGGGAAGAGCATCTCCAGCATGGTCGCCTGCACGAAGATCTTCACGAAGATCTGCACGAAGGTCTTCTCCAGGAAGATCGTCCGAACCTCCAGGAAGGTCGTCTGCACGAAGGTCGTCTGCACTTCCAGAAAGGTCGTCAGCACGAAGACCTGCACGAAGGTCGTCAGCAAAAAGGTCAACTGCACCCCCAGGAAGGTCGTCTGCACGAAGGCCAGCACCAGCACCTCCATGACGGTCGTCTCCACGAGGAACGTTTCCACAGCGGTCGGCACCAGTTCGAAGGTCGGCACCACGAAGGTCGGCACCCGCACTTCCACGACTGTCATCTTCACGAAGATCGTTTCCGCAACGTTCGGCACCGGCACGGAGATCGTGCCCAGGTCGGTCAGCTCCAGCACCACCACGAAGATCTTCTCCACGACGGTCGGCACCAGCATCTCCAGGACGGTCGTCTCCACGAAGATCGCCTCCACGACGGTCGGCACCAGCACGAAGGTCGTCTGCACGAAGGTCGTCTTCGCGAAAATCGTCACGAAGGTCGTCTGCACGAGGGTCGTCTGCACCTCCAAGAGGGTCGTCTGCACGAAGGTCGTCTGCACGAAGATCTGCACGAAGGTCGTCTGCGCGAAGATCTGCGCGAAGATCTGCACGAAGGTCGTCTCCAGGAAGGACGACTGCACCTCCAGGACGGTCGTCTGCACGAAGGTCACCTGCACCTCCAGGAAGGTCGTCTGCACGAAGATCTGGAGCCCCAGCAACTGCATGAGCATCAGCAGCTCGACGAGGATCACCGGATGCACGATCGTGAGCGGCACCACGGAGAAGGTCAGCCCCAGCACCTCCAGGACACCGTACGGCAGCATCGGGACGACCGTCAGGACCACAAGACCTCGGCAAACTCTTCATATTGAACGTGATGTGCGAAAAACCCTGAGAGGACCGATGCCCGTGATCAACCACGCAGGCTTCATCGAGAGACTGTAGAACCGATTGCGCCACAAAAGAGGGTAGCGCACTCTGGGCACCCAACCCATCATCGAGAGGAAGAAGCACAAAGTGAACAATCATCCGGTCTTGATACGTGTTGATCCGTACGCGACACCTTCGACCAAAAAAGAGTTGCTCAACAATCCACGACAAGCGAGCTGCACTGACCATCGCGGGCGGAGAACAGAGTGAGTGGAGCAGAGGGGGCGGAGCGAAACAGCGGGGCGGCGCACATGCACCGCAGTGGCCTATGACTCAGCAAATGCTTGAGCCAAAATGGTTATGATGATGACGATGATGATGATGACGATGATGATGATGATGATGATGCCGGGAGGAGAGAGGAAGGAGGAGGAGGAGAGGAGGAGGAGGAGGAGAAGAGGAGGAGAGGAACGCGGGGCAACGTCTTTTCAAAACGAGGACCCAACACCACAGGATGGTCGGGAAGTACTCCAAAAATGCTCTAGCATTGCCTGAATAGACAAAAATATTCCCCATACTATGTTTGGATTGTGTTTGAACCTTCCTCCCGTAGAGGGACAGGCCCGACTTAAACCTGAAAGATCAGGCAGCACGCACCTCGGCGCGCCGCGCTGTCTGACATGTCCGAAGCTGCGGGCGCACCGCCCTCAAATTACGACGCGCCCTTCGGAGTGCCGCCCAATTCGACTCCGTAGGGCACCATTCCTGCGCGAAACATGCCTTCCCCCAACGCTCGCCCAAGCGGGGGACCAGGGCGTTGGAGGAACGGGACGGCCACAATGGGCGACGAGGAGCAAGAGTCCCTACCCTGCCCGCCCCTGCCGAACATTGCGGTTGCCCATAACCCTGGGACAGACACAGACAGGGCGACAATCGGGCTGCAACCCGCGAGATTTCCTAGGAAGGAGACCCACTTGCAAAGGTGCCAAGAGGGGGAGGGAGAGACGGAGAGGGAGAGGGAGACAGAGACAGAGAGAGAGAGGGATGCAGCGAACCGGGAGATGGGAGGTGCGGGCACGAACGCCATGACGCGAAGGGAGAGCGGAAGAAGGACGAGGACGACGAGTGGGCCTCCTTGAGCTTACCCTCGACCTCCTTGGCCTTGGCCTTGGTGTTGGCGAGCACCTCGATGAGCTCCGTGTCCTCCGAGCGGCGCGCCGCGCGGGAGGACCCCGGCGACCGCGGAGCCGCGGGGAGAGCGACGGCGAAGGGGGCGAAGAGGGCAAAGGGGTGCCCCTGGCACACGGGTGCCCCCAGCTGTTCGCTCCATTCTGGAGCCCCCGAGGCACCTTCTCGGCCTCGTGAGGGGTGCTCTGGAGGCCGTGGGGGCCTCCTTGGAAATCCTGGGGGGCACCTTGGGCGAGGGGCACCTCGGGGGAGAAGGAACACGACGAGGTGGGGAGAGGGGAGCGGGATGGCAATAATGACCAATATCGGATTGGAAGGCCGCAGCGAAATCAAAATCCCGTCGATGTTTGTTGGAATCGGTTTGCAAATCGGCGATCGCCGCATTGGCTAGGAAGTCGGAAACAGGAAGCAAGATCAGTATCGAATGAGAACTGTTGTTTCGAACCGAATCGGAATCGAATCGGAATCGAAGCGACGCTAGCGTGCAGGGAGCCTGGTGATGAAAGAACAACACACACTCAGACCTGTATGGAGGAGGAACGGGGAGGGGCAAGGAGATGAGGGCGCTACAGGTATGGGTGCGGGTTGTTGGACTCCGAGGAGGCTCCCGTTCAAACGGGGACTCCCATCTGACAACACACACCCGTAGCCCCACGGATCTCCACCCCGAGAACTCTAGGGGTCGCATAATAACGCGTGCTAGTTGTCATCTCGTGAGGGGAGGGCCTGGTAGGAGAGGGGGGGTCAAACAAAGGACGTCTGAGGCCACACAGCCAGGCAGTATGGAAACAAGGTATGTCGGCTGTCCAGAGCTCCATATGACTCGCTTCGGCGCACCAAAAGCCCGAATGCACTGAAACCACACCGGCCTTCTGCGCTAGGTGCTCTCGCGCGCCAACTCTTCCAAATCAACCCTATCACTCCTTCCCGCGGAGGGGGTAACCCTCCGACAGACCCCCCCCTCGGAGGTTTGGGCGTGGGCGAGGGGGGCGGAGCGCGGGTCGTCGGAGTGCCCTGTGGCCTGTGGCTCACACAAGTTGGCCCAGATGTTTTCCAGCATGGCTCCAAGAGGCCCCCGAAATGTCTCTGGGGTGGTCCCCAGGCCTCGAGGCGACCCGAGGAGGAGGAGGTGGAGGAGGTGGAGGAAGGGAGGGGGAGCAGGAGATGGAGGAGGAAGAGGAGGAGGAGGAGAAGGAGGAGGAGCAGGAGGAGGGAGGAGGAGAAGGAAGGAGGAGGAGGAGGAGGAGGAGGAGGAGGAGGAAGAGGAGGACGGGTCGCCTAAGTCCTTTGGAGAAACCCTCCACCCCAGGGAGCCCTCGAGAGGACCAGAGCACCGAAGGGCCTGGGGGCTCGCTGGCGCCGATCACCCCCTATCGACTTTTCTAGCCTCCGATGGGGCCTCTGAATCCTTCAAGAGGAGGCTTCGTGATGGTCCGAGAACAGACCAGGCTCGCACGGTTTCCCCTGGAGCCGTAGGCGACCCGAGGAGGAGAAGGGGAGGAGGAGGAGGAGGAGGAGGAGGAGGAGGAGGAGGTGGAGGAGGGGGCGGGGGAGGAGAGAGTACTGAGGAGGGGGAGGAGGAGGAGGAGGAGGAGGAGGAGGAGGAGGAGGAGGAGGAGGAGGAAGGGAGGAGGAGGAGGAGGAGGAGGAGGAGGAGGGGGGGAGGAGGAGGAGCAGAAGAGGAGGAGGAGGAGGAGGAGGAGCAGGAGGAGGAGCAGGAGGAGGAGGTGGAGGAGGAGAAAGAGGAAGAGAAGGAGGAGGACGGGTCGCCTAGGCCCTTCGGAGAAACCCTCCGCCCAGGCTCGGGCACACGCTCATGAGGACTACGGATCCGAGAACCTGACGCGTGGGCGCCAGGCCCACGGCTCTGGGAGAGCGACCCCGGGAACCTGGGGCCCGTGCCGCCCGAATCCGGCGACGGGAGGCGCGCCGACCTCTGACACGGAAACCGCACCCGTCGCTCCCATCCACGCGCCTCAATCGATGGCTGCGCCTTCCTCGAGGGAGGACGGGGAACTGGGGAAGGGGACGGGGGTGGGGAGCGAGGGAGCGAGCGAGGCGCCGGCGCGGGCTCGTGTGGCGAAGAGCGTGTGCACGTGCCCGGCTGGGCAGGGCGCGAAGGCTGAAGCCTCCAAAACACTGCAGAACTCTGGCTCACACGAAGAATTTCCATGGTCGCAAGGCGGGTGCTGGAAGTCAGAATGCTGTGGTGGCATCAGAATGCTGTGGTGGCATCGGGAGATCGAGTTCTGTGGCTGGGTGCTGGCTGGAGGTCAAACTGGTTGGGTCGAGAGTAGGAGTAATGCTGAGGACGAGGGTGGGGAGGGGGAGAGGCGAAGAGGCAGCCATGGGAGAGGCGGACCGGGTCCTCGAGCAGGTTGCCTTGCGAGTTCGACAGCCGATCGAGGAGCTGCTTGTCCAGCAGCTGGCGTCAGAGAGAAGAGCAGAGAGGAGCAAGGACGATGATGAGGAGGGACTCTTCTCCTCCCCCACGTGCCTACAGTCCACACGTATAACAAGGACGCACGACAAGAATACGGCCTTGCAAGGCCACGTCGACACTTTGCGAGCGGGGCGCGGCCAGCGAAAGCGGCCAAGGATGGGCCCGAAGGGGAAGGATGCAAGGGTAGCCTTTCATGTACCCCAGCCACTCAGTCTCCTCCTGCCCCTCCGTCCTCGATCTCGTTGTCGACATCGTCGTGACCATCATCATCATCATCATCACCACCACCACCACCACCACCATCATCATCATCATCATCAGTATTAATATCATTATCATCATCATAATTATCATCAGCAGCATCATCATCAGCATCATCAGCATCAGCATCATCAGCATCAGCATCAGCATCAGCATCAGCATCATCATCATCATCATCATCATCGTCACCACCACCGCCACCATCACCACCATGATCATCATCATCAGCAGCATCGTCGTCATCATCAGCATTATCGTAAGTTTCCTCACCAGCATCATTAGCATGATCAGAATCAGCATCATCATCTTGCCCATCATCATCAGCAACAGCATCATCAGCATCATCATCATCATCATCTTCATCATCATCATCATCATCATCGTCCTCCTCATCATCATCATCGACACCAACATAATCACCATCGCCATCATCATCAGCATCATCACCAGCATCATAATCACAACCAGTATCATCATCCTCAGCATTAGCATCACCGTCACCATCAGCAGCATAGTAATACTCATCTTCCTCTTCATCCACAGAATCATCATAATCATCAACAGCATCATCAGCATCATCATGAACATAATCGTCGTACCATCGTCATGATCATAACCGTCATCATCAGCATCAGCATCGTCACTCTTAGCATTACAGCATCGTCATCATCAGCATCATCATCATCAGCGCAAGCATCCTCATTATCGTAACCAACATCATGTTCATGGTCAACATCAGTATCATGATCGTCATCATCAGTATCGTACTTATCATATCAGCACCATCATCAGCATACTAGCATCGTCATCATCATCATCGTCGTCGACATCATCAACACAACCATCACCAGCATCATCAGCATCATCAGCACCAGAAGCATGATCATCATCAGCAGCATCGACAGCATCAGCATCATCATGATATCCCTCAACATCATCAGCAACAGCATCATCAGCAGCAGCATCAGCATTGTCATAATCAGCAACAGCAGCATCCTCATCAGCGGCATCATCAACATCATCATCACAAGCATCGTCATCAGCAGCATCATCTGCAGCATCATCGTCGTCATGATCATCATCATCATCATCAGCATCATCATCATCATCACCATCAGTCATCATCATGAGTATCATCGACAGCAGCATGACCATCATGATTATCGTCATCGTCAGCAGCAGAATCATCGTCATGCTCGTCCTCATCCTCCTCGTCTTCCTCATCGTCCTCAGCAGCATCATCATCAGAAGCAGCATCAGCAGCATGATCAGCAGCACGAGCAGCATCACGGGCAGCAGCATCAGCAGCAGCAGCAGCATCGTCGTCATCATCATCCTCATCAGCAGCAGCATCCTCGTCATCATCAACATCAGCAGCTTCAGCAACGGCATCATCATCAGCATCAGCATCAGAATCAGCAGCACCATCAGCATCATCAGCAGAATCAGCATCGTTATCAGCAGGAGCAAAATCCTCACTTGTATCGTTACCACAGCACATCCCATCATCAGCAGGATCAGCATCCTCAGCATCAGTGTCATCATCAGCATCAGCATCACCGTCATCATCATGTCCATCGTCATCATCAGCATCATCAGCATCATCGCCATCCTCCTCGCATCAGCTACACTGCCCCTCTCATCAAGAGGATCACCGTGCATTGTGTGCTGCACTAGGTTCGCGAAATCGTGGCCAGCGTAACCAGCATGGCAAGACGAGGCTAGACTAGACGAGAGAGCACTCGGCCGTGCAGGAGCTGAAGGCGAGACGAGCGACCGCATCGACCTGGGCTTGCTTGATCAGAGTTGCAGCGATAAATCGAGCCGACGCGTGGGCACGCCCGCCCCCCCCCCTTCCCGCGCGCGCAGGAGGGGAAGAAGAAAGAAAGGGGAGGACGGAAGACGGAGGAGGGAGGAGAAGGAGGGAGGGGGAGGAGGAGGAATTACAGGAAGTACAGCCTTCGCGTAGCCAAAAAAGATTAAAACTCCGCCGCTCAAGCCATAGCTCGAGGATCAGACGCCTTGCACTTGGGAAACTCGTCACGACGAATCCTCTGAAGGTACTCCTGACGACTCTTGTAAACTTGGAGCTGACAAGCGGATCCTAATCCTCTGAGCTGGGATTGTCCGAAAAAACCCGCAGACGTTGCAGTATCAGATTCCTAGCTTGTGGTGATACACTAGGGCATGCGAGGGGTTGGCCCAACCCCCAGCGAAATGCAAACGACACCCCCTTTTCACACGAGACACCCTACCACCCATGGAAACAAACTCATTGCACTCACTTTTTAGCCAATCGGAAACTGTGGCTAAAGTCGCAGACCCATGACACAACGAACCGGATCTCCCGCTTTCTGTGAGGACATGAGATGTCGCGAAGCGTGCAGCGATAGATGGTGCAGGAGGCGGAGGGCGGAGGGGCAAGGGAACGGGATGCCCTCCTGCCTCGGCCCCGTGCGAGGCTGCCCTCGCCGTGCGCCGCTCGGTCGCCGCCGCCGCCTTCCTCTCCACCTCGCAGTGGATGGAGCAAAGACCTGCTCGCAGGAGCCTCCTCCGCACATGCAAGGCCTTGCGTTCCACCATCGCAACTCTGTGCCGTTCACCCGCTGGTACGCGCGCCGCCGCTGCCGCTACTCCAGCCAGATGGTCAACCGCTTCGTTGCCCTGGATCATCCAGCTAGGCAACCTTCTCGAGCAGACCTCCTCCGCTGATAAATGTGACGGTACTTGCATGAGCACAATATCGGCAGGCGGCCGCTGCTGTTCCTCCAGATGCCTGCCCATGAGCCTCCAAAGCCCTGCATGACATCCAGTAGGTCTCCGATACAGCTGCGCCCACCACCCTACGCAGACCTCTTCACAATCTGTGACAAAGATCAAAACACCTCGTTAGTACCGAACAGCAAGCTCCAGGGCCGTGAGCTCACCCTTGGGCACGGTCTGATCTCTCCAGCTAAGGGTCCCAGAAGATATGGTCCCATTGTGAAAGGCGTGAAACTGGTAATCACACAGACTGCAAGCCCCACTCGCCTCAAACGAACATCATGCGTGTCGGCCCCTCCAGATGCATCTCCAAAGGCGTGCACGGGACACGCAACGGTGCCGTGCCCTAGGCACGCTGCTCCCTCACAGAGGTCGCCCCCTGACCAGGCCTCCCCGCTGCACGGTGGGGATACACGTGTCCACCGCGCGGGGATGAGGCCTCGGCTCCGGAAACATGCATGGGCGGCGTGATCCGCCACTGCTTCTGGAATGAGATAGCTAGACAATTCAAACGCCAGCCCTCCACTATTGCACTTGCACAACCAGTATCTGTGAACGTCTGACTCCTCGGCCTCGCCACATCTGTCACAAGTCGCACTCGTGCCTATATGAACGCTATACTTGCGAGCATTAATCCAAACTCCTCCTACAGCAATGGACACCATGAGTTCGGCAAGTTGCCGACCCTTGTGTGCGAACTGCAGGTTGTCGATGAAGCGACGCAAACTGATCATGTCGGCACCCTCTTCCAAGCCACTGCCGCAATGCAAATTCGCAGCTGTTCGCCACTGCCGTAAAGCCAATGAATCCTCAAACCCACCAAGTAGATCATCTGCCTGGTCCAGCGCGCACAGAGCCTCATCGTCGAAAATCCACGAATGAGGCCCTGTCTCGCTGTCATTAGGCAGCTCCCACTCCGAAGGCGAGATCGGATTCCAGCCAGCTTACAGCAAATATGCGACCACTGTCAAAACTGGATCTCGAATGTGCCGTGACCGATGAGCTTCGGGACGAGGAGGAGGAGGAGGAGGAAGGAGGAGGAAGGAGGAGGAGGAGGGAGGGGGAGAAGGAGAGAGGAGGAGGAGGGAGGGGGAGAAGGAGAGAGGAGGAGGAGGAGGAGGAGGAGGAGGAGGAGGAGGAGGAGGAGGAGTTGAAGGAGGAGGAGGAGGAGGAGGATGCCAACGAAAACGACGACGACGTCCTCTGCCTGCCATACCTCCGCTGCCCCTGGGCGACGCAGTGTCACCTGCAGCGACTTCGTGTTGTTGGTCACGTCCTCCTCGAGCGCGGACAGCGTGTCCTCGAGCCGGCGCCCCCGAGGACAGCCGAGACGTGCTGAGGCGAGGAGGCAGCGGCGAGAGGAGAGGATGGAGAGACGGGAGAAAGAGGCGCAGGGACGAGCAGGGAAGAGGGGAAGAAGAGAGAAGGGAGAGGAGGAAGAGAAGGGATGAGGTAGAGGACGAAAAGAAGGAGGAGAAGTAAGAGGAGGAGGAGGAGAAAGGGGGAAGGAGATTAGAGGGAGAATGGAGGGAAAACAAAGGAGCGAGTAAAGAGAAAGGAAAGAGAAGAAGAGAGGAGGGCGGAGGGAGAATGTAAGGATTGGGGGAGGGATGAAGGAGGAGGAGGAAGGGAGGGAGGGACGATTGAGGAGAGAACGGAGGGGACGAGGGAGGTACGCCGAGTAGGAGTGGGAGCGGGAGGAGGCAGAGGGAAGGAGGGGAGGAGGAGGAGCAGGAGTAAGTGGAGGAGGGAGGAGATAAGGAGACGGAGTAACAGGGGAGGAGGAGGACGAGGACGAGGACGAGGACCAGAGGGAAGGGAAGACGACGAGGAGGAGGCAGGTGAGGCAGAGGAGCACGCAGGGGCGGGGGAGCGGCGGCAGCAGGAGCACGGGCGTGAGCGGGAGGAGGCGAGGCGGAGGGAGCGGGACGAGGAGGAGGGCAACGACGGCGAGGGTGCCGAGGAGCGGCGGCCGCAGGAGCACCGCAGCGACGGCAAAAGAAGGCCTCGAGTACGATGGCATGGCGACCTTACACCGAGGCGCGCGCGGGCCGCCAGCGTGGCACGCCGCATGGGTCGGGGTCCACCAAGGGGGGGGGGGACCCTGAGGGGGGGGGGGTAAGTTCGATCCGCTGGTGCATCGAACTTCCGAAAAACGATGCCCCCCGCGCGCCCCGATTGTCGACGCCTCTCGGGTTCCAGCGGCGGCCGGAGACCTCGTCTTGCATCGTTTTTCGGTTCGATGCGCCAACGGACCGAACTCACACCACCCCTTTGGCACCCCCCCTTTGCGAGGTCCCGAATGGGAAGCAGAGGGCGCGCACGCGCGACCTGACGAGGGCAGCATACGGCCGGACCCCAGGACAGAAGAGCATCCTTCAAGGACAGGAGACCCTCCGCCGGTCAGACTGAGGAGCACTCCGAGGGAGCCCTCCCCCAGGATGCACAAGAACATCCAGCAAGCACGAAGATCACGAGGGTGCCCTCCCCGAATCGACCTCGATCCTATCCCTCGGTCCGACCGTACGCGCAAACGTCGGCGCAGCCGGCCCCGTTTTCGTCCGTCGCTCCCCTGGCGAGTCGCGGCCACCAGGAGCTGCTGGAGAGGCGGCCCTTGCCCGAGGTGCCCCCCGGCTCTGGGCGCCGTCCTGGAGCCCCTGGGAGAGGGGGCCTCTCGGCCACGTGAGGGGGAGGTCCTGGCTGGGGGCGGGGGAGGTTTTCAATGGTCGGAGGGCAAAAAAAACCCAGCCTCACCCCCGGCCAGGACCCCCTGGATCACCAGGTCGGGAGTCAAGGTCCTGGCTTGGGGGGTGGGGATGGGATGTGCTGTCCTCAGTCTGGGCCTTCTTGCGAATCCTGTGGACACCGTGGGCCAGGGGAACCTCTGGCAGAGCCCGAAAGGGAAGGCCGTCCCCGGACGAGCTCGGCCAAGGACCCTGGGGGGGAGAGCCCAGAGCTTCGACGTCGTGATTTCTTCGATGCAAGATCCCGTGAGTCCCGACCATGTCCCCGGGGCTGGCTCTTCATCGCGGGTGTGCTTGAGATCGCCCTCGGCCATGGGATGCCACAGATTGCGGAAACCGGTCCTGACATTCGTGAGACGCTGCAGGACTGGGGGGCGGGCGGGAGGAAGAGAGCGTTGGCGAACGGGGCGAGCACGAGCCACCAGCATGAGGCGTCGAGGAGCGAGCGCCGTCATGATGAGAAGTTCGGCCTCTTGCTGTGACGCGCACTTACACGTTCGTCTACTGACGATTGTCTGCTAAAGGGGTTAGCGATGGCGGGAGCCAGGACGAACCGATTGACTCCTCCAGGCTCTTCTGCTCCATGCTGATGAGCTTGCCCAGCAGCTGCTGCTCCAGACCCTTCAGCGTCACCTCAGCATCGAGGGCCCCCGTCCCTCGGATTCCCTGTTCTGCCCTTCCCTCCCCCCCATCTCCACGCCCCTTCTCTGCACATCCTCTCCCATCCCGTCTCACCACCGCCCTTCCCCCCCCCTTCCCCTTCCCCTTCCCCCCTACACTCGGACGATATTGGACAGAGCACAAGAGAAGACACAAAAGCCTCTTCCGACGGCCACGTGGCCCCAGAGCAACAAAGGACATCCAAGCTGCAAAGGTCGAGTCGGACAAGACACAAAGGAGGAGGAGGAGGAGGAGGAAACAAGGGCACCATCGATTTGACATGGTCAACCTACCAAGCAGGGCCGATTGTATATGAACGGGCACCCACACCAGAGCTGCCAAGTCTGCCAGCCCGAGGCTGCGCTCAGCAGCAGGTCAGAGAACTGTTGCTGGTAGACGGCCGTTGCTCTCAAAGACCGCTTGAAGGGAACTACAGTCGGACTCGATTGGAGAGGACACGCGAGAAGACACAAGACCCCTTCGAGGGCCACATTGCCATGGGAATGCGAGAAGGCATGGGTCGCAAGGCACAGGACACAAGGGTACCCTTGATCTGGCAAGGTCGACCTACTAATCAGGACCGACTGTATCACCCGAGAGGGAGAGAGAGAGAGAGAGAGAGAGAGATCAAAACGAGGAGGCGGAAGAGGACCCCCCCAGCCCCTGCCTCGGGAAGCCGAGCTATCACCCGAGAGAGAGGGAGAGAGAGCGAGAGAAAAAGAGAGAGAGAGAGAGCAACAACAACAACAACAACAACAACAACAACAACAACAACAACATCAACAACATCAACAACACCAACAACAACAACAGCAACAACAACAACAAGAAGAAGAACAACAACAACAACAGCATCAGCAACAACAACAACAACAACAACAACAAAAGAGAGAGAGAGAGAGACAAAAAAAGAAAGAAAAAAGAGAGAGAGAGTGATAGAAAAAGAAAAAAACAAAACAACAAAAAAAAAAAAAAAAAAAAAAAAAAAAAAAAAAGAGAGAGAGAGAGAAAGAGAGAGAGCAAGAAGAGGAGGCGGACGAGAACCCCCCCTGCCCCTGCCGCGGGAAGCCGAGCTATCACCAGAAAGAGAGAGAGAGAGAGAGAGAGAGTGCAAGACGAGGAGGCGGACGAGGACCTCCCTTGCCCCGGCCGCGGGAAGCCGAAAGGTACCGATACCGCGTAGCCGCTGCTGGGGTGCCTTCTGACCAGAATTTCGAAGCGAATCGAGCGGCGGCGACAAGGCCCTCCCAAGGGGGGCCCATAAATCGAGCGGGTGGTGGTGGGGGGTGACATGAAGGGGGGGGGCGAGAAGGGCCCTGTTGAGGCCCCTGCAGGCGCCAAAAGGAGCCCAAAGAAGCCCCTCTAGGGCCCTTTTATCTTCCTCCCCCGTGTCGGTCACCCCCCACGACCGCCCGAAAAAAGGCGAAAACGAGGCAGGGGCAGCGGTATCGGTACCCTGTTCCTCCTCTGACTCGCATCCCGTCCCGAGCCGCTGCTGCCAACCGCGCCAGGACCCGAGCTCAGCTCGGTGTAGGTCGGGCACGCCCCCCATACAGGCGGATGTTGAAGGAAAAACGTCACAAATACGTCGTGCGTATCTTTCAATCTTCTAAAACAAAAGTCGTCCCAGACGATGTTGTGACAATTGCGACTGTTGTTTGTATACTCCTCATGGTAGAGGGACACGCCCGACTCAAAGTTCGGGCCGAGGGCGCCCGCCGTGAAGTCGATGATCGTGCACTTGGCGGACAGCTCGGGGCTGAAGTGCGGATTGGGCAGCCGCGACGTCATGTACAGGCTGAACTTCTCCTCGCCAGGGCGCAGCGCGCGGAGATTCCCCGCCGCCCGTGCCTCGCCCACCGCGGCCGCCGCGGACTGCACCGGGGAAGCTGCGCACATCCACAGCTCCGCTTCGGGACCTGCTTTGGACCAGCGGTTTCGATTATGATGGGACCTCCGAAGAAGAAGGAGAAGAAGGAGAGGAATAATGATAATAACAAGGAGAAGGAGAAGGAGAAAAAGAAGAGCAAGAAGAAGAGGGAGAAGGAGAAGGAGAAGGAGAAGAAGAAGAAGAAGAAGAAGAAAAACGGGAGGGGCAAGGGTTCGGGGGCAGTCGAGGGCACGGAAAGCAGGCGAAGGGGACGAGGATGAACCTCCCACCCCGCGCAGCGAACTCCTTCACCTCGCCAGCCGGACCCGCGCAACACAACAACTGACGATCTCGAGCCCGGGATTGGGACAGCTCGTCTCAGAGTTTCCGGCGACCTCGTCGCCTCTTCAGACGGGCCTGAGCTACCATGGCTATTGCCCATCCTCTTGCCAGACCCCTCACCTCGCCACTCGGACCCCAGAGTTGGATGCTCATTCTGGGGACTTTCCTGGAGACACTCGCTCCACTTGTGCGTCGAAACTGCGTCGAACGGCCGTCGATTCGAGTCGACCCTGAATCGAACCTGAGTCGAGACCGAATCGAACTTGAGCCGAACTTGAATCGAAATGCGGTCGAACGGGGGGCGAATAGATCCGTTTGGCGGGCCCCGGGGGGGCCCCCAAAACGAGCATCTAACCGGGGAGCTGACCAGCCACAGGCCTTTTTCGGCCCCGCCGCGCGACACGCAGTGACCCACGGGGCCCGGCGTCGGCCGCGCTCGCCCTCCGCACGCCGCCGCCAGACCGCCCCCCGCGTGGCGAGGAGGCTCGAGGAGCCACCGGAAGCCCCCCGAGGCCTCCAGGGACATCGATGTCCCTCGAAGCCTCGGGAGGCCTCCAAAAGGGCGAGACTCGCCAAGATGCCCCGGGATGCCCCGGGATGCCCCGGGATGCCATATCTTGCCCCAGGAGCCCCCCCGACATTCGAATGCATCCTCGCCCGGACGAGGCCTCGGGCGTCTCTAGAGCGTCTAGAGACGCCCCCAAGAGGCCAAAAAAAATTGTGTTCCGTCGGTGGTTGAAGGAGTTTGGCGTTCTCGCCTCGTCGGCTTCCGGGCGCTCCGAGACGGCCCACGAGGCCCCAAAGATCGCCCTAGGACGGTCCCAGAGGCCGCCAAGAACGTCCCAAGACGGCCCAAGAAGGCCCCAAGGTGGCCTAAGAGGGCACCAAGACGGCCCAAGAACGCCCAGAGACGGCCCCAACAAGGGGCCCCGACGGGAAACCAGAACGGACGCTTCGAGCCGATTTGGCGGGCCCCAGGCCAGGCAGGCTCGGCCGGGCCGCCACCCAGCCCTCGCCATCGGCAGTCTTGGACCCACGGGTTCACAACAGGTGGCCTTCGGAGGCCGAGCCAAGGAGCCAGGCGCTGCAGAATTGGGAACATTGGTCGCACCGCGTCCGGCCGCCACCTCAATTGCGACGATCAGGCACTGGTTGATGGAAGAAGTTCTTCAGATCTCTTAGTTCGCCTACGCCGCCAGCCCGATGGAGAGAAATGGAAGAGCCCACGAAGCGAGCACTTCGACAGGGTCAAGCACTCGTTAGAGACGACCGCCACGCCGGTAAAGCCTGGGTTGTGGACGAGACCGGCTCGAGAGCGCATCTGCTTCACCACCTTACGCACGATGACCAACGGCACTTCGAGGCGCTACTCCCGCCAGAAGATGCGCGACGATGGATAGACGCGGTTGCCACGTTAGGGTTGCCAACTGTTCCTTGCAGGCGGCCCCATCTACCCGGGCGCCCCGCGCGCCCGCCGCGGCCCCATCGAACCCGAGCGCCGGGGCGACGAGGGCCAGCCGGCACGCGCCAAGGAAGGCCGTTCACGTTAGCGGAGAGTGATCGACATGGCGGAGGTGACTCACGCGAAGGGCTCGAATGCGATGGGCAGAGCCATCAGGGGCGTCGTCGCGGAGCTCCCGACGCCCACGAGATGTTCAACATGGCCGCGATTGCGAATGACCTTCAGACCACGGCTTCCGCCCTGGCGCCTCCTGAGCCCCACCAACATCGCAGACCTGGGGCGATTGCTTGCTTACATTGCAAGCGGCACGTCAGCGCCACCCCCCACGCAGCCACGATGGACATCGACCAGGTCTCGAGACCTGCAACGCCAAGGATGTCCGGGAGAGCTGGGTCCGGATATCTAGCAACTTCACGTCCGAGCACGGGCGCAGCGTCTTCGGCAGCGGGTGGCGGTCGATCCCATTGTCGAGCATCCATGCGTCAATCGTCGCGTGCACCTCGTGCAACATAGCTTGCTTCGGCGACTTAAGATTCGTTGTGTCTGGCGCCTCCATTGGGGGCGCGATGTCCGCCGCGGCGGTGCCCGCGCATCTCCCCGACGAGGAAGTCAGTGGATCGCAAAAGATTCAGCAGATACTTCAGAGAGACTTGCGACGTTCTCAGAGCCCCCATCGAGGCCACTTTGGGGTGGAAGCGGCGCGTTGACAACGCGCTGGGGGCAGCAAGGAGATTGCGCCCATCATGCATCGCGACTCTGATGGCAAGCGCGCACGCGTAGAAAGTTTCGGTTGCACACCAAGCAATTGACTTCCAGGAGGACGCACCTGTCGCGTCCGATTGGCTGCAGCTGAGCCCGCGGGTCCAAGGATCACCCTTGCGTTGGGCTCCGAAGAAGTTCAACGCGACGTGGCTCCGCGGCACCCCCCCCCCTCCTGCGCGACCCAAGCACAGCCTCCTAGAATGGCCGGGGACCTTAGCGATGCCGCTCGGGAGGCCCCGGGCGCTTCCCCTCGGGATAGCGGCTCGATCATGCATGCTAGGCACGCTGAATCAGATGGAGTTAGTCACGATTCTGGAAGCCATATTGGAGACGCTGTTTTTCCGAAGGTTCCCGGACCCCCTGCTTCGGGCGTCGGCGCATTCACTCCCCCCTTCTCCAGCAGCACGGGGGGCTCGAGCGATTGTCAGGCAGCGGCTCTCCTTCATCGCGCACTGCCCCCAGACTGAGGCCGTCGGGGCGAGCGCGGGCGCGGAGAACTTCGCGATCGCGGTCGCCAGGAAGATGACCGCCGCGACGGGCGCGATCGCCGAGAGACCCCGCCGCAATTTCAGCCAGGGGGGGCGCAGACAGAACGAGAGCCAGCAGCAGGGACAGAGACCGTCGCCGCAGCCGCTCGGATTTACGATCTCCGTCGCCAACTTCCCGCAGGCAACGCGAGGCCGAGGAGTTGAAATGGGCCGAGAAGGCCGAGATGCAGCGGATCCCGGAGCACGCCAAGATGAAGAAGCAAGCGGGGGACGAGTGGGACGAAGCCTTTACAGAAGCCAGATGCGTTCTTGGCCAAGGCGATCTCTGGGGAGTTCAACAAATTTCTCACGAAGCAAAATGTGGAAGTAGGCCCACGTGCCGGCCGCTCAGATCAACGCAGCGACGACGAGCAACCAGAGAAAAAGAGAGGCGCCACACTTCCAAGGGCAGGCCGCCAACTTCAGCGCCGCCGGAGGTACCTAACAAATTGTCGCCCATGCAACGGCGGCTGGCCATGGCGGAGCTACGCCACCACAGAAAACTGGAGTCTGGCGACTACGACGAGTTCTACGAGCAGGCGATTGAAGCGTGGAGTTCCAGGAGCTCACAGAGTGCATCAAGACCGAATAAGAGTCCTACAAGCCACAGATCCGCATGCAAAGGGCCAAGGACGACCGCATCGCAGGCCTCTACAAGATCTTCCAAGCGAGCAACTGCATTATATCAAACCACGGACTCATTGTGGTGCAGGGCAAGATACAATGGCAGAGATTATATTTATCGGTCATGGGTTGCCTCTTGGATTCGCGCTGATATTTGGGTCTGGAATGTGCGTTGGATATTTTGCTGGATACCACTACGGCTGCCCATCGCTGACCTACTTGGCTCACATGAAGCAGCATGCGTGGGAACATGTATGGGTTATCTGGCAGACACCCAACGAAGATGCACGAGGCTATGTCCAACAAAACGCTCCCATGGGGATGGCGATTATGGCACAACGCCTGTGGAATGGCCGGCGGGTTCGGGCCCTCGGAGTGTAGGTGGGCAGACGATGAAAGCTGAGGCGAGGCCGGCCCAGTGATGCCAGCGGGAGCGAACCTTCCCGCGCGCACAGATTGTTGCCATCATTTGCTCCTGTTGCGCTACGTCTCCCAGCGTATTTTTCAGTAGTGGTGAAACCCCCACCACCACCTGCCGATGCCTGTCGGCGCCCACGCGCTGGCCGCACGATGGGCAGGCACTGGCGCCTGGCCAGGGCACGCGCGTCGCCGCAACTGCGCACCGCAACGCGGCTCAGCGCCCCAAGCCTCTGCATTCGGTCGGGGGCCCGCGCCTCCGCCGCCGACCGCGGTTGGGGCCCGTGCCCTCGCCACGGTGCAGCACCAACCTCGCAGGCCCGTGCCTGGGTGGCTGCATTTTTTCGCTGCCTTTCTGTTCGCGGTCGGGGCCCGTGCCCTCGCCGCCGAACGAGCACCGCAAGCCCGTCCCTGGGTGGCTGTTCCTTTCGCGTGCGCGGTCGGAGCCCGTGCCCTCGCCGCTGGGACCCCGCAGGCCCGTGCCTGGGTGGCTGCCGTGAGTAGCGCTCGCGGTCGGGGCCCGTGCCCTCGCCGCAAAGCTACCGCCACAGGCCCGTGCCTGGGCGGTCCTGCCCGTTGCGTCCGCGGTCGGGGCCGGTGCCCTCGCCGCCGAACTACCACCGCAAGCCCGTGCTTGGGTGGCCGTTCCGTTTGCGTACGCGGCTGGGGCCCGTGCCCACGGCCCTCCTTCCAGAGCAGGGCCCGTGCCCTCGCAAGCAGGCCCGTGCCCGAGGTTCTGGGCCGGGCCTTGTTGTGCGCTATCCCGATCGCACTGTCACACAATGCGGTTACCGTTTGTGCTTTCACCATGCGTGCAACGCGCTGAGAGCGTGGCACGCCGAGGTAACACTTACCAGGAGCAGCCAGGACGGCCCGGATCCCGGTAAACGGGGGCAAACGTCAAACGCAACGCTTGGGAACCGACACGAAACGCAACGCCAGGGGACCGATTTTGGAGAGTGCCAGGGTGCACTGGGCGCCCAAGCGACGCTCGTCGCGTCGAGTGTGGTCGCGACTTCCATGCAAAGGGCGGAGCAGATTAGCGGAGGAAGTATCATCACCAGTCATATTCGACTTTCTCGCCCTAACCAAAAAGGACATGAGCAACAACAGCAGCAGCAGCAATAACAACAACGACAACAACTACAACTACAACTACAACGTCTTCAACAACAACTTCAACAACAACTTCAACAACAACAACAACAACAACAACAACAACAGCAACAACAACAACAACAGCAGCAACAACAACAACAACAACAACAACAACCACAACAACGACGACGACGACGGCGACGACGACAACAGCAACAACAACAACAACAACAACAACATCAACATCCTCGTCGTCATCACGACCACCACCACCAGCATCACAACCAACATCAGCATCATCATCAGAGCCACCAGTATCATAATGAAACCATCCTCCCTATTATCAAAAAAACTCAGCAGCAATATCATAAACATCATCGCGAACATGAACACAATAACATAATCATAAGCAGCAACATCAACAGCAGCAGTCTCATCTTCAGCATAATCAGCATCGTTATCATCAGCAGCATCATCAGCATCATCATCAGCATCATCAAAACCACCATCACCATCATCATCATCATCAGCATCCTCATCATCACCATCATCATCATCATCAGATCATCATCATCATCATCATCATCATCATCATCATCATCATCATCATCATCATCATCATCATCATCATCATCATCATCGTTATCATCATCATCATCATCAGTAGCGTCATGAGCATGCTCGGCCTCATCCTTCTTTTCTCCTCCTCATCATCACCATCCAAGATACCTCTTCCTCCTCCAGTCGTGACGTACCTCAGGGGGAGGGAGCCAGATCCTTGTAGTCCATGTTGTTGTCACTGACGCAGATGTACATGTTCTTGCCCTTTCTGATGATGGCCTGGACGGATGAGACACTGGATGGCAGGGTGGGATGGAGGGCGGAAGAGAGGCGAGGACAGCGAGCAAGCGGAGGCATGGGAAGGGGGTGGAGCTGCGGTCAGTCTTGGTTGTGCCGTAAGGGGCTAGACTTTTGTCGTAGAGTGGCTTGATAAGCGAATGTCGCGCCGCGATCCCTACATGAATGAGTAGAGGCCTGTCATTTTGAGATCACCATCCCACTCCTCCTTCTCAGTATATAACCGTGCTATTGACCATCTTGTGTTTGGATGTTGAACCCTGGTCGCACAAAATCACGTTGCGCTGCTCAGCTCGATGCGTTTCTATCCTCTCTCCTCCACCTCCTCCTCCTTCTCCTTATCCTCTTCCTGCTCCTCCTCTTCTGTTTAGCACGCGCCGTCGCCGAAAGTACAACACGCCTCTCGTGTGAGCGCTTGCGCGGCTCCGCCCCACCTTGCCGGCGCGCCGGTCAGACGCAGAGCACCCGAACCGACCCGACCTTGCTGCGCACTGCTGTTTCCAGCGTCTGCTTCTTGCTGCATCGCACGGCATCGCACTGCACCGCACTGCTTTCAATCGCACTGCCCTGCATCTCACTCCACTGCTCCGCTGCGAACTGCACACGAGCACTGCACTGCTCTGCTCCTGGCGGCGGAGGGTCCCTCGAGGAGTAGAATCGGCAGTCTTCCGAGGTACTGGCAGGCGAGCCCTCAAAGAATCCGTCGGCCGCACGCAACTGGCCCTGGGTAAGAGTGGCCTGTGGTGTGAAGCTTCAAGAGGGGCCAAGCCCGAGCGCGCAAGCCACTGCTATCGCATCGCATTTGGTGATTCGGGGGGGCACAGAGGGTTCGCGCCAAAGGTCCCTCCAGCGCAGGGTCACTCTTACGCGTAGCAGAACCCAGCCTCGAAACCAAGATCGCCGTTGGCCCTGAAGAGGCCGAGATTGGACGCGGGGGCTCGAATCTTCGCCAGGCGAACTGGGCATCAGTTCTGTCACAGCTGGTTGACTGGATCAGGGGAGAAAAAAACTGGGGAGACCAAGAGGTACCGATACCGCTACTCCCCGGACCTCTCCCGGGGTGCGTCCTGATTAGGATTTCGAGGCGAATCCAGCGGCGGCGACGAGATCCTCCCAGGAGGCCCGACAAGGGGACACCTCGTCCTCCCCTGGATCCTTCAGAGCATGGACAACACGTGCTTGCTCTTTCCCGCCAGCCCCAGTGTGCCTGGTGCCGGGCGCGGCCCGCGGGCTCCGCAGACGCGCTTGCGACCGCCAGCGCGTCCCCCGCAGGAATGCCGTCGGCTTCTGTGTCACAAGCCTGGGCATGTCCGTTTCGCCGGCGAGCACGTGCGCGCGGGAAAAAGCGTCGACGTCGGCGGCTTTCGGAGACGCGAAAACGATGCACACGAAGGTCTCCCGCACATCCAGGGGCCCCGAATCTGGCCGAAGTTGGCGCTTTCCCCCCGAACAGGGGCTAGTTCGATATGATGGCCCCATGGAACCTCTGGAGCGTCTGATCATGACGTGAAGGAGTTACTTCGATACGCACCACGACCCCTGAAAGCGGAGTCACCACGCCTCCTCTCAGCGGCCGTCCATTTCGGCGTTCTGGTGACAGGCCAGAGAACGACGGCAGAGCAGACTGACGCTGCTGCTTGCGTCGAAGCTCAACACTGCAAGGGGATGAACCCTCTGGCAGGATTCGGCGGTGGACAAACCTCCCTTGAGTAAACCTTCCCTTGGTGAAAACGGCCTAGGACCGAAACTGGCGGACCTGGACCCGCAAAAATGACGGCCGCGACGCCTTCTCGCGAACCGAAAACGGGCCATTCGCTAATCGACGCGTCAGGGTAGAAGGTCATTAACCTCCGAAGGATGTCCCTCAGAGGAGGACATGAATGGAGGCCGCAGGACCCGCGCTAGAACTGAGCAGAGTCGTAAAAGATGGCGGGAGCGAGCAGCGCCTCGTGATTTCCTGATGCTCCCATCCTCCCTCCTCGTGCTCCTCCATCCTCCCCTCCCCTCCCCCCCCACCACCATCCTCCCCCTCCTCCTCCCCCCCCCTCCATCCTCCCCCCCATCCATCCCCCCTCGTGATCCTCCGTCCTCCTCCTCCTCCTCCCCTTCGCCCTCCACCTGCGACCATCATGCATCAGAGGCGCTTTCACGGCAGGCACCACGGCGCCGAAAAGGCAGCACAGTAGGCACGGTGCGGGAGCTGATAACGCGCGCCAGCTAGGCAACGAAACTTGCGGGTGCCCGACGTCAGCGTGCGCTCACGATGACGGTACCCTCGAAGCCGCCACAGATGGTCGATATCTGGAATGTACAGCGACAGCGGCTTGCCAGATCAGGGCTGCACAATCAGGTGTGGTCATCGCCCAGGTTGGGTCGGCCGTGGCCGCAGATCGCGAATCGAAAAAACATAGATGCGGAGGCGGTGGGGAGCGCGCAGCGGAGGCCCAGGTAAGAGAAGCGGCGCTCCGAGAGAGCAGGGAGGCGTCTTCGCAGAGCCCTGTCTCGCTGCAGCTCGCAACCATCGTGCGCAACTAGTTCTTATTCCATGCGACCGACTGTCAGCACCCCCCACCCCGAACACCTTCCTTCATCCTCCTTGATGATAAGTAGGAGCAGGCGCAGCTCCTTCTCCTTTTCCCCCTCTAACTCTCTGAGATGGATGTTTTCTCAATCGCTATGCCTGCAAAATCAGGTGGCACCGTCGCCCTTGTCGGGCTCTGGCCTGATCCAATCAAAGCTGCGGAGAGGAGAAGGTGTGAGCACGTGCACAAAGCAGAGCAAACATTGAGTGAACGCCCCCCTTTGGGCTGACTGCGTCTGCTGCTACCCTCCCTCGGCGCTATACTCGAGTTGGCCTGAGATGATGGAGCGCCAACACCCGTGAAGGCTATACGTGCCTCAGATTGCGCCGTGCCCAAAATCGGCAGCCATTGCGCGCAGCGGACTACACGCGCGGAACGAGATCACTTCACACCTACGCTGACACCGGCGCGCCGATGACCTGTGCGGAAGGGGCGGTAGCCGCGCTGTCGCCTTGCGTGTACTTGGGCACGACGACCGCGACGTCCTGTGCCTTGAGCGGCAGGAACCACTGGCCGACCTGAAGCCAACCGTCCCCTGTCTCCACGCCCTGCACCGTGGAGCCCCATACCGCGCCCACGAACGCCTCGGCGCTGGCCATGGCGCCCAAGTCCTTCGCGGTGCGGTAGCCCAGTCCTGGTGTGACTGCTTTCAGTTTGGAGTTGTCCACCAAGAAGGCCGAGACGCGCTGGCCATCCAAAGGCTTCGTCATGGCGGCGATCATGTCGGCGGTAGGCACAGCAACGGGGACCACCTTAGCTTTGCCCCGCGCAATCGCCAGGAAACGACTGAGATCGTGCGCAGCGTGAGCCGGCTGCTGCTCGCTTGCCTCAAGCCTGTCCTGCCCCTCCTGCTGACGGGCGAAGCTGTTGAAGATCTGCTCCAACGTCGTTGCGGACAGCGAGTACTCCGTGATCTCCAGTGAATCCTTTCTCTCCTCCATGTGGGTGAAGAGGTCCCCGAGGCTGCTATGGCTCCAGATCTTGTACTGGGACATGGGGCCTTGCCACTCGACGATCTCAGCACTGTAGCACATGCTGGGCACGAAGGCATGGAGGTTCTGGAAGCGGGCTGTATAGATCCACCACTCCGCCAAGACCTTAGGGGCGACGGTGGCGCTGGCGTCGACGAACGGGCTGCTCGGCCCGTCTAGGGCAGCCACGATAAACTCATTGTCCTTCATCGCCTCAGCCGCCCATCGCTTGCCCAGCCGTGCGTCCTCGGGCTGCCCCCACTTCGACGTAAGAGCCTCCAACTGCGCATCGGTCGGCCGGCTGACCTTGCACATGAGCTCGTAGGCGCCGCCGTAGCGCGCGCGAATCTCCCGGTTGGACCCGATGGTCCGGAAGACCCCGTTGACCATGATGGCGGACCGGGCGCAGAGAGCCTCACACTCCTCCATGGAGTGCGTGGACAGGAGCACGCTGCTGCGTTTCCGCCGAGCCGACACGTTCTGGAGCACGCCCCACATGAAGCGCCGCGCCACCGGGTCCATTCCCGCCGATGGCTCGTCGGCCAGGATGATCGGAGGGTCACCGATCAGCGCGCACGCGACCATCAGCTTCCGCTTGTTGCCGCCCGACAGGTTCGCGGCGTAGTTGTCCGCGAAGCTCGCGAGGCCAAGCTGCTCCAGCTTCGCCTCGACCACCATGGGGATGGCGGCAGACGGCACCCCCTTCAGGTTCGAGTAGAAGAACAAGTGCTCGCGGGTCGTCATCATCTCCAGCAACGCGTTGTCCTGGGGGCAGTAACCCGTCCGCGTCCGCGCCCTGCGAGAACCAGCGCCTGTGCTCATGTCAAGGCCGGCCACGGTGATGGCGCCTTCTGTGGGCGAGAAGTGGCCTGCGATCATGTTGAACATCGTGCTTTTGCCAGCACCATTAGTGCCAAGCAGACCAAAAACCTCCCCATAGCTCATCCCAAAATTCACACCCTTGACCGCGTGGAGGGCACTCTTCATGCTGCCACAGCACTTGTTGAGCCCCACCGGACCGTAGACTTTCCGCACATTTGAGACGTGCACCGCGGCTTCGGAAGTGAGCGGCATGGAGCTGGCCTCTTTCAGCACGGCTTCGTCTTCCCAGCCCTCGGGCTTCGGGATTGCCGGCGCCTCATAGTGGAACAGCTTCCGCAGCCTGGGGTGGAGCTGCAAGAGGTCGATGAGCACAATGGTCAGCATATAAAGAAGCGCGGCTGCTCCCATGTGGGTCAGGGGGCCACCAGCTGCGCCGTAGTCCAATGGACCATCGACGCATGCCCACGGGACTCGCTCGAGGTACTTCACCGCGTCCTCACACTCCACATACCACTCCGCGCTCCTCGCGCTGAGAGGGGTGGCCTTCAGCGCCATGTTCACCGAGCCGATCAGCTGGAGGGCCTCTGCAAGGGAGTAGCCTGGAACGAACCGGAAGATCGGGTCGAGCCAGTCGCTGAATTTGACCGCGCACTCGGCTGGCCGCGCGGGCAGGCCAAGGGGCTCGGTGCAGATGTTAGTGAGGCGCATGAGGAAGCCCACAGTGCCGAAGACAAAGCAAACGCCCATGTTGAATGCGAGGACAAAATTCTGCGCGGTTGCCGCGGTGGAGCAAAGGCTCCCAATGAGGTAGCCGAAAGGCACCTGCGCCAGGCTGAAGATGACCAGGGCGAGCACCGCGTCGCCACCGGTGACGGCGTCCGCTCCGAAAGCCAAGGCCAGGATCAGCACAAAGGCGAGGGCCGCACAGAATATAAGAACGTCCGCGAAAATGTTTGTGATCCAGTAGGAGGCAACGCCCACGCCGCTCATCAGGTGCTGCGCTTTGACGCCTGTTTCCTTTTCTCGGATAACATAGGCGGCGGCAAAGGCCGTGGGGAACGGAAAGATAAATGCCGGGAGGATCAGAGCTAGCGATAGGAGAAGGCCATCCCCACCGAAGAAATCGGAGCGCTGCCGGTCGGTCTGCGGAAACGGGTGGCTGGCGACCTTGACATGGCCTGGCACCCCTGCCTCCCGCCGCAGGAGATTCGAGCCCAGGTTCAACCCGATCGGAGCGATGTGGATAGCGGACAGGTTCACCCCCAACACGATGCTCGAGGCGCCCGAAGCATTCACCGACACTGGCAAAACTGCAGCATACCGCGACGCCGCATCGTCCCCAGCGGTGCCCAAGAGTCCACAGCCGAAAGCCCGAGCATAGCTGGCCAGGCTGCGATTGAGCGTACCGTCTTCAGCCTGGCACGCCGTGGCCCAGCACGTCTCGTCGCTGCACTGCTGATCCCAGAGGACGTCGCTGGGATCATGATCCGGGGTGCAGGTCGCACCAGGCTCGAAGGAAAGACCTGGAGCTTTGTCCGCAAGGCCCATGCTCACGGTCGACTGGCCGACCGCCGTCATGTCGACATTCGACTCCACAGCTGCCCAAGGGATCACCGTCCGCGGGTGGCCAGCATCAACAGCGGGGTCATTGTACAGGTCCAGGGAAAGGTCCAACTTGGCCTCGTCGGTGACAAAGCCCTGCATGATCCCCAATATCACGGCGAAGGCGATACAGGGGCACAAAAGCTGGCAGAAGAGGAGCAGAGGGTCCCGGACGGTGTAGCGGGCTCGCTTCGCGAGCATGACCCCGACCTGCCGGCATACGTTGGGCTGGAGCTCCTCGTCGACATCCCCATCCGCCTCCCCTGATGCGGCGAAAAGGTGTTCTGCAGATTTTGACGTGGGCGCGGCCGCGGTCTTCTGCCCAGCGGCCACCCGGATGAAGACCTCCTCTAGGTGGCAGACAGCGATGCTCCAGCCACGGAGGCCCAGCGTCTTCCTCGTGCCTTCGTCGTCGAGCTTCGCGAACAACTTTGGGAAAGCCTTGGACGCAGAGAAGTCCACGAGCAGCACTAACTCCGAGCCCGCCTCAGACATGGCCCTCACCTCGCTGTACCCAGCCAACTCGTTCGCGACCAGCTCACGCGTCTGCCTCTTGGTGCTCCCGTCTTCGAGCTCGAAGTTTACATTGTAGCCACAGCCGTAGTGTTTCTTCAAGAATACCGGCGAGCCCAGGCACTGCATTCGTCCCTTGGCCATGATGCCGATGCGGTCGCCGAGTACGTCCGCCTCGTCCATGTAATGCGTTGTGAGCACCATGATCCTGCCCTCCTTCTGCCGCCGCAGGAGGTCCCACGTGTCCCTGCGCGCGGTGGGGTCCATGCCAGAGGTAGGCTCGTCGAGGAAGCATATCCTCGGCTCGCCCACGAGCGCGAGGGCCAGGCAGAGCTTCCGCTTCATGCCCCCGCTGAGGGCCTTCGCCTGCGCACCACCCTTAGCAGAAAGTCCGCACTGCGCCAGGATGTCCACGCTGCTGGACTGCGCAATGGCGCGGCTCAGACCGCGGAAGGCGCCGAAGAGCGTCGCGTGCTCCATGCATGTGAGCTCTGTCCAAAGAACGTTGTGCTGCGGACAGATTCCCACCTGCTTCCGGCCCTCAGTGGTCTGGAGGAACGCCCAAAGGGGATTGCCGAAGAGCGTCGCATTTCCAGCAGTGGGCCTGACTAGCCCTGTGAGGCAGCTGATGGACGTGGTCTTGCCCGCCCCGTTGTGACCCAGCAGCACATAGATTTCTCCGGGGTACATGCTGAAGCTCACACCATCGACTGCTGCGATTGTGCGGCCCTGCGCCGTGAAGGTCTTCCTGAGGCCCACGACCTCCAGGGTCTTGTTCTCTTGGGTCAGTTCCAGCTGTGCGGCGGTCGGCTGTTCGAAGGCCTCCCCGTCCTGCTCGTTCGCGGAAGTCGTCATGGACTCCCCCCTCTCGAAGCAGTTACAGGACTCTGCCCAGTATTCCCTCGTGAACGGGAACCACAGCGGCCGGTGTCCCGTCCCGTAGGGGGCGGTCTGGTCCAGGTACCAGAAGATTACGAAATAAAGAAGAGCGTCCAAGGCAAGAACCCAGAGACTGGTGCCAAACGAATACTGCCCGACCTGGACATTTAAGGTGGAGGCGCTGAGTCCGATGGCAAGGTCTTCCAACTTCGCCCACGTGCAAATCCCGTTCAAATATGCGACGGCGGGTACAAGTCCTGTTGCAGTCTTGGCAGCAAGGGAACTGGGATTGGCAAAATTGATGTACGTGAGAAAGTACATCATCGCTGGAGCCAAGATCCGACCCGTACGGGCCCTCCCGACCAATGGCACCAACATCAAACCGAAGCTGGTGTTCGCCATGAGTCCGAAGAAGCAAAGGAGCCAGACCCAGATGAAGTCCGTCTTCCTAAAGAGGTCCAACATTCTTAGCACACCATCCTCGTCCACTGTTGGGCAAATCTGCCAGATGATGGTCATCACGGTGCTGGGTATCAAGAAATACGTCACCGCCCATATGTATATCGACAGGTAATAAGCAGTGTCTGAGAGACCCATCATGCGCATACCATCCCGGAGTTGGTCCTCCTTCTCGCGCAAAGCCCGGCTAACGATTGAGTACGAGAATATTAACAGCCCAAACGCCGACATTCCCACCAAGCCGTAGTCGTTGTCTTCGCCCACCGTCGAACCAGTGCCAGCAAACGTGTCGAGCAAGTCTGGATTCCACTGGGTGCCACTGGTGCGGGGAAATGGCACGAAGAAGTACCAGGACGGCGTGATCAACTCTGCGTTGGACGTGGGAGGTGAGGGCCTCAGTAGGTAGTCATCGACATAATGCTGCAGGTGCACGAACCCCGTGCTTTCAAAGTACTGTTCGTAGGCCATCATCCCGAGAGTAAAGCCAGAGCTGGACGCATCGTTCCAGTTCCAGCCAGTGCCACGCAACGCCTCAAGGGTGCCTGTGCCGGCAAAGGCTTCGAGCCCTGTGCCGTTCAAGCGTATGGTGTACGAGCACTCCCCGCCGGTCCCATTGAGGCATGCGGCGCTCTCCAGGACCACAGCCGCACAGATGCTGTCGGTGGCATACAGGCCATTTGCCTCGGACACCGTACCATAGTCCTCCTTCTTCATGTGCTCTTCCAAATCCTCGCTGCTGCCGAACATGCGGACCACTGGCAGCAGCGACTGTATGGCAGCGGGCGTGCTGGCCCATGCGTCCAAAGGATCGCAGTCCGGCTGGGTCGAGCACTCCCAGCAAGTGGTGGTCGGCGCTTCCATCTCCTCCTCGCTCACCTCGCCACACTGGCTGTCGAACGTCCTCCACCCGCAGATGCCCCGGTGCTGGGCGCACTCGCAGGCGTCGCCGATGCTGTAGCAATCCACCAGCCGGCGCCCCTGGACGCCCGCCTCCTGGGCCCCCAGCCCTGCGGAGAGGAACCCCCCAGACGCGTTCCGCCCGTGCGCCTCTGGCCACGCGGCGCCCCGCGGCGCCGGCGGCCCCGCGCCGCTCCTCGCCGCGGGAGGCCGCAGCCGGCCGAGCCCGCCTGGCCGCAGCAGGCCCCGGACCGCCGGCCACGGGCCAGCCGCTGCCTGCGCCACCGCCAGGGCCGCCGCCCGAGGGCTCCAGGGCGACCGCCGCTCCGCACCGGCAGCGGGCGCCGGGCGAGGGGCGCCCGCAGCCGCCGCAGCTGGCCGCGGGGCGCTCGCCGCCGCGGAGGCGTTCGCGGGCCTGGTGGGCGTCGCGAGGCGCCTTGCCTGGCAGCCCGCGCCAGTGTCGATGCCGGCGAGCCACGAGCCTGCCGTAGCTGCGGCAACCGAGGAGCTGACTGCGGCCACTCCTGCCGACCCACTGCCGGCGTCTGTGCAGCCTGGCTGCGGGAAGCTCTGCCCCACGTCCACGCGGGGGTTCATTATTGCCTGCACGAGCAGCGTCGTGGCGGCGGCCTCCAGAGAAGGCCAGGTTGCGGACCACCGCGGATCGGAGCTGATCGTGGCGGTGGCTGCGCTGCCGCAACGTGCCGAGCAGCTCTCTTCGTACCCCGCGTTCTCTGCCCGCCTCCACTGTATTTCGAGGCGGTGGACGAAACACGTCCACAAGTCCTGGCAATCCGCAGTGAAAGGTGGGCAAGTGTTGAGGAGGTTGTACGCGGGCTCGGCCAGCTGGAAGTTCATCCCCGCAACCCGTATGATGCGGTCCGCCAGGGCCCCGGCGTGCGAGCCCCCAACCACGCCAAAGGTTTTCCGCACAGGCGGCTGCCCAGGGTTCAACATCGGCACCTTGAGGACTGTGACCACCTGGTCGAAGCCCATCCAATAGTACGCGACGCTGCTGTAGTCGCGAATCTCCCTGCGGAGGAAGTCCCCCGCCGGGTTCACGCTTGGGCTGGTCTGGTCGGTCTCGCCCTCCCATTCGCTCTCGTGCTCGTTCACTGCGCTGAGGCTCTCCCCAGAGTGCGTGAAGCACGCGCGCGGGAGGGGCCGAATCCCGGACAGCGTGCGGGGCGAGAGCTCCTTCGTCGACGACGACAGCTCCCAAGTGGCAGCCTCGATGGCCTGCAGAGGGCCTTCTACGAAGTAGAACGTCAGAGTCGAGATGAAGACCAGTATTGCGAGGCAGATGTGCTGACACAGGCAGGTATAGCAGGAGCGCTTAGTGACCAGGAAGTTCTTCCTTTGCAAGGTCGCCAGCTGCGTGAAGAGCGGCATCGCGTGTGGATGCCTCTAGCACGGGGGGCTGAACGCGGTCCTGAAGATTGCAGAATATGCCTTGAGCAAAAATGGCTACGGAACATGGACAAAACATGAGGCCAGAACTAGGAATGCTCAGCTGCGCAGCTTTTGCACGGCCACGACAGCTCCGGGCGGTATCGATACACTTGCCCAATCCGCAGTCCATGTTCCCTCCTCCTGGTGCTTCTGCTCATGCCTCCTCCTCCGTCCGACTTCCTTCTCCGTCCCGCTTCCCTGTACACTGACGAATCCTCCCCGTCGAACCACCAGAGGTGTCAGCAGGTCGGGCTTGGCGTTTCTCACCGCCCCTCCTCACAGCCTCGAACACTGGCGCGTGCAAACTCAACTCAAGACATCCAACACCCGCACGGGCGGAGGGCGACCCGCTCCCACCAAACAAAAGCTTTCGCCCGACACCGCCTGATCCGCCACCAAGCTCGCAGCGGTTGGTGTGTGCGTGTGTAAGTTTCGGTCGGGCATGTCCTCCTACAGGCGGATGTGGGACGAACCATATAGAGTACCAGAAAAGTTTCCAACAAATACGCGAAAATCGTCCAAGCATCGTTGCCTGACTATATTTTGACTGACTATGTTTCAACATTCCCCCTGTAGAGGGACACGCCCGACTGAAGTGTGAGTGCGCGCGAGCGTGCGGCACGGGCTCCATCGACCCGCAGGCCTTCCCCCTCGCCGTGCGGGGTGCGGGGTCCTCCGCCCGCGCATCCCCCCTGCCGAAGTGCTCGTTTGCTAAGGCCACTCGGGGGCCCCCAAACGGGGTGGTGACCACACCGTGCGGGGAGTCGGTGGGGATTCGGGGTCACCGCACGGTTTTGGGACTCGAGTCGTTCTAAAAGGCCGTCTCGGGCGACTGGGGCATCCGAGGTCCCAAAACCGTGCTGTGCGGTGAGGTCTTGGAGATTTCGAGGTCACCGCACCGTTTGTCACCGCACCGTTTCGGGCTGACAACGATGTTGCTTAACGGTGATACCGGGAACCAAAGTGTAGGAAATCACGAACCACGCTCTCCTACAGCTCCTGTATGCGAGTGTATCGAACGAAAACGACACAACGCATTGCAGGAAAGCACGAGCCACGCGTTCCCACGATGTCGAAACCTACATCGCTGTTACCTACATCGCCGTTAGCGTGTCCACGGTTTTGGACCCTCCAGAGCTTCCCCCGCCGTGCCTCTCCACAACCAATGTGGTGCCGCCCCCTACTTTTGCTGCGACAGCTGCGCCTCTGGCACCCGCCCCCTAATGCGGCCCAGGGATGCAGTGCATCACGTGGCTTGCATTCCAGAGCTCGGACCAAATGGCTTCACCGCCTGCAGCGCATGAATTGCAACATACACAGCGTGGCTCACATAGATTGTGACGCACAGCTTGTACCGCATACATTAAATCACCGACCTTGCACCAAACACGTTTCACCACAAAGCTTACTCCACATCATAGCTGACACCTCACCGCTTGCACCACATAGCTTGCATGACATAGTTTGAACTGCAACCTGCATGGCCTGCAACATGCAGGTTGCACCTTACACAGTGTATATCACAGAGCTTGAACCACAGCCGTTCCATGACATGTCTGGGATTACACAGCTTTTGCCATATAACTTGCACCACATGACTCGCGACACACAGCTCGCAGCACCATGATGGTACCACATCGATTGCAAGAAATAGCTTGCAACACCTATATTGCACCAAACGCAGAAAGCATCACGTAGCTTGCAATGCATAGATTGCTCATCGAGGGTACCAAAGTGCACTGCTTGGGTACCAGAATGTGGCGACTTCCATGAGGTCACGAGGTTTTTCTCAAGACCAAAAGCTTCCTTCCACTCACTGTGAGGAACATTGTCCTGCGGGCTCGCAGATCACGCAAACACACGGCATTCCCGGAGCAGCATACAGTCTCTCGCTGACCTGGAGCATTTCACACGGCTTTGCTTGAATTGTTTGTTAGCAGCGCTTGCCGACGCAAGCGCCGCTGCCGGGCCGACGGGCCGCACTGGACACTGCTCACTGCACCGACCTTGCAGACGTACTGCAGCGGATGTTTGCGTGGATTCCTGTCAATGCAAAACCCCGAAACGGCGGGCGATAAACGAAGTAAATGTCACGTGGATGTTTTGTAGTCTTCCTTCCTGGCCCAACAAGAATCCACACGAAATGCACTTCGAAATCCGGAGCGAATTTCTCCAGGACAATCTGGCTCCACCCCATGGTTCTCCGAACGAAATCCGCTCTGCGATGTTGGCGCCACAACACTGCTAGCGCGGGTGGAGAAGCGCAGAACGGCCGCGGGTGGGAGGAGGGGGGAAGGAGGCCCGGGCCGCCGAGAATCGGCACTGGAAGGCGGTGTAAAGCCCGGCCAGGTGCGTGTAGCACTGTAGGCTTTTGCCGCGGGGAAAGCCGCAAGAGGGTGGGCCAAGGACTTGCTCGCACAGATGGTCGGCGCTGGGCCCCCCTCTCTGGCGCGCAGAGCAGGGGGGGCCCAGCGCCGAGCCTAGAAATGCGCGCTGAGCTCCGAAGGTTTCTGTTTATGTCGTTTCTTCTCCTCCGAGATTTGGACGAGAACGATGTCATGATAGCATGGGCTCAGAATGCGTTCCAGGATTGTCATGGCATCTAGCGCACTACGACACCTGGGAAGTCCTGGAACTGTTCGAAACCTTCGAACGTATCATTACCATGATTGAGTAGAGGCCACCAAGATGGAGTCCGAGTAGATGGGGTCGAGGGAGTGCGCCGCATCGCCGATCAATCACAGATGCATCGACGATGCCTTGGCGACGTCGGCGTGCCGAAACCGGGCTCCACATCGAGCCGCATCGTCGACACATCGCCAATGCATCGGCGATGCATCGGCGATGCCGCGAGATCCTCCGACCCCATCTACTCGGACCCCGTCTGGGAGGCCTAGAATGAGGGGGTAGAACCCACAGGGCCTAGGCTCTAGTCCCTAGGCCCTGCCCTAGGCCCTGCCCTAGGCCCTAGGGTAGCCTAGGGTAGCCTGGGGTAGGCTCTACCCTAGGCCCAAGGGTAGCCTAGGGTAGGAACTACCCTGGGCCCTAGGGTGAGACCTGGGGTAGCCTCGGGCAGCCTAGGCCCTAGGGTAGCTCAGGGTAGCCCAAGTAGGATCACAAGGGGTCAGAACGTGAGTTCCTGGGGGGCGAACGTGCACCGCTCGTGTCCCTCTTGGGTCCCAGGGGGAGAGCCCTTTTGGGCCATTTCGGGCACAAGAGGTGCCCCTCACCTCACGCCCACCCCTTCATTGCCAGGCGGGAACATATCAATATCCACCGCCTGGGAACCGACGTATCGACGTCCTGGTGCCCCGGCGGGCGGTGGATATGGATGTATTTTGGCCCCCGGGGGCCCGAATATATCCATATCCACCGCCTGCGAGGTCCCCGAAAATTGATCCTCCAGGCGGTGGTCATGTAGATCGCCCCTGTCATATCGCACCCCCCCTCACTCGACGCACGAGAAGGAGGCCTGGAGCGAGGGCCTCTGGCCGCACGATCCCGGCCCAGAGACGGCCGGGGCCCGCCGCGGCGCGCCGCGGCGCACCGCGGTCGCTCGCGAGCCAAGGGCAGCCATGCTCGGGCGTCGCGCTGCGCGAGGCGCGAAGAGCGAATAGCCTCGCGCTCTCGCGCCGCCCGCCAGGAGGGAAGAGGAGAACGAACATACGAACACTGCTGCGGCGTTCGCTCGTTGACGACAAGGAAGGATAACACACGAACGAACGGAAGGGATAACGAGCCAAGCGTCCTGGCCTAGCTCGGACCAGGTGGGTGTGGCCGTGGCCTCTGGACTCTGGCGCCCATGGGCACATGCAGTGCGAGACAGGTGCAAAGTTAGGAGAAGGCGGGGACGAGGAGGAGGAGGAGGAGGAATCGCGAATCACGAAGCGTCCCCGTGGATGCCCTTGCGGGCGACGACTGCGTCAGGGAGTCCACTTGACGACAAGGGCTCGACGAAGACGGACTGGCGCCCCAGGGCACGGCGGATGTGCCATCGGGGCGACTGGCTCTTCTTGGATCTTGGCGATCTTGGCGACGGGCTTATCAGAGGGTGCTAACTTCGCATCACCATCAACATCAGCAACACCACCACCGCCACCACCACCACCACCATCATCATCATCATCATCATCATCATCATCATCATCATCATCATCATCATCATCATCATCATCATCATCATCATCATCATCATCATCATCATCATCATCATCATCATCATCATCATCATCATCATCATCATCATCATCATCATCATCATCATCATCATCATCATCATCATCATCATCATCATCATCA